GAGCGGCGAGGTCATCATCCGTCACGTTCCGGTTCAGGTTCTGCAAGGGGCGAAGACAAACAGGAGTTGAAAGTGTCATTCAACGGTGCATTCTTTGTTGAATGGTAACAATGAATGAGATATTCAGTCAGGACTACCTGAGTGGAAGCTTCAGTCAGACAAACAAACGCTGCCAAAGTGATAATTCATCAGGATAATTCCTGATTATAAGATCTTTTCAGTCCTCCACAAACACATCAGGTTTGGTTTTCTGTTGTGTTTATTTGTAGAAAATAGTACAAACATGTTGACATACAGCATATGGCAAAAATGACACAAGTGTCAGGAATCACAATTTCTTCTTCACAATACATGTAAACAAAAGGAACAGTAAATGGAATTACACGCGGTTTTATAATGTTGTTCAATAACTTCAAATATATTAAAATGAGATACATTTTACTTTATAACCCGAATGCAAATATTTTAAAGTTAAAAACTGGTTAAAGTTAGGACACGGGGCTGTGATAATCGTTAGGGATGATGAGTGTGAACGTTGAACAGGGAAATACATTTTACATATAAATAATGCGACCTTCATTCTCTCAACCAGCAGGTGACGTTGTGCCCAGGCGAGGAGAACATGAAGGAGAACAGTGTGGATTATTGTGACTGTGGAGAGTTTTTGTTTTCCTTTTTTTAAAAGATCTTCCCTGAGTGTGCAAAGAATGATCTGAGAATTACAAAGTGGTAAAGTCAAAATCAAAATTTCTCAAACTTCACATTAGCTGCAAAAAACAAAACAAAAAGACAAGTGGCTCAATTTAATCTTATACATAACTGTCACCATAGAAACTAAAGCAGCACTGATGGCGAAGATGATCTGTTGACTTTGGTCCTAGTGGGAATCTTTTCCAGTTGTGGACACTATGGCTGTAGTAGTAGTAGTAGTACTAGTAGTAGTAGTAGTAGTGGTAGTAGTGGTAATTTTGGATTGATGGATATAAAATAATCAGAATTTATGACTTAATTAGTTGATGGTTTTTCACTGAACACTGTGTTCCATTTGATCAGTTACTGTGAGCAGACAAAATGGAGTCAGTGGTTTTTACTGGGATAAAAGTCCAGGTGAATAACTGTGCTACTCCTTAATTTTTTTTGACAAGTGGACGGACTGTCTTATTAGCTGTGAATCAAATGAAGATCTTTTGTGGTGTCGCCCCCTAGTGGTTCCCTACTAGAGTTCCTTTCTACCTACTGCTCCATATTTGGAATAGAGCTGCTTCGTCCAGTTCTTCTCTACAGTCTACGTTTGAACAATTACCAACCTGGCCTCAGGTATTTCAGCTTTAACACAGTGTGTGTTCAGATGGTTTTTCCTGTGTTGTTTCTATCGATCTGCCGATAGCAGTAGACACCAGACTTCAGAGACAGAGGGGGGAACCCGAAACTACGCACTCCTGGTTCCATTGGACCGCAGTTGGCCCGGGGTTTTGTGATAGGATAACGGACACTACCATCAGCCAACCAACCGGCATCACAGCGGTCAAAGCCCAGCAGCCTCCAGGCAGCATACAGCTGACCCACTCTGGCGATCTGACCTCCATCAGAGACACAGGCCTGGGCGGCCTCTGTGAAGTTGAGCTTGGTCGGATGCTTCAAGAAGTACACGCTCCCTGAAGTAGGAGACAAACATTGTTCATTCAAATGTCATTTTTATTCTGTCTTCGAGTGTGTCATCTGACTGACCTTTGATCGAGGCCGAGAAGCAGAAAGCATCGTAGGTGTGGAGGAACCTATGGCGCTGACCATAGCTACGCAGACCGGGGGCCAGTTCTATGCCCCCGCAGCCCTCCCGAGGAACTGTGATCGGATACTGCACCGTACCATCTGCTAACCAGCCTGCATTACACCAGTCCAGTCCCTCCTCCCATGCTGAGAAGAGCTGCTCGAACGTGGCCAGGGTGGCGTCCTGGTCCTGGCACGCTTGTTGGGCCCCAAAGAAGTTGAAGTGGTAACGACCTTTCTGAGAGTGGTAGGGAAACACCACGCCTGCACATGAAGAGAAGTAAAATACATTTTATTATCATTCAAAGACATGAGAATTTTATATAATTCTAATAAACGAAATATCAGTTCTGAAATGATATAGCAAATGTTATTTCTGAAGGCCGGAAATCTGACTTTATAGCCATTATGAAAGCCCCCTCTAGCCAATCAGGAAGCAGGACGGTGTAAATGCAGCTACAACACCTTAACCTACGTAACACTGTTTAAATCAACACTCAGCAGTCAACATGTGGGACGTGTAATAAATCAGACTGCACTGATTTCACTGTTCACACATGGGATCGGACGTGTTTTCGTGGCCTGCTGCTCCACCTGTTGAAAGATTGTGCAGTGTGCGACCCCCAAAGGTCACCCGCAGGCATGTACCGCACACACCCCTGAACACAACTCTGCCTGGTGACACTGTAAGAGTGTTGAGGCTGAACTTTGGCCAAACAAGAAGTCCCTTGTGCTGAATGCTGAAGGACGAAGGTGTTTGTTGTGAACAAGAGGTCCCTTTGAAAAAATGCTGAAGGACGAAGGTGTTTGTTGTTGAAAAAATACTGAAGGACGAAGGTGTTTGTTGTTTCACAGAATGTAAAGACTGAAAACACAGTGTAGCAGAAACATGAGCTCACTGAGGTTAAACCTGAGGGCTGAGTCTCAGTTACAACACGTGGGATGTCGCACGTTTCCATGTACGGGGAACTAATTAACCTGGTGTCCTTCACCTAACAACTCAGGTCCTCCTCAATCACAGGAGTCTCACCTCTCAGCTCCAGCTCCACAACCACACTCTCATCCTCCAGGCCATCAATCACCTCACACCGATACCTCCCCGTGTCATTGAGCTGCAGCTCATTGATCACCAGAGACAGGTCTCCTGGTACTGAACGTCTCAGACGAACACGGCCCCTGAAGTTGCCATAGCTGCGTTGACGGTTGCCCATTGCCACCATGACCTCTGTTTCCCTGGCCAGGACGTCAGGGGAAGGAAGTGCAGCAACGGTGTTGGCCGGTACCCAGGACCATTTGATCCTAGTCTTGCGTGGTTTGTCAATCTCAGGTTCATAGTGGTAGTGACAAGGCAGGGTCACACTGCTCCCTCTTGTGGCAGACACTGAATGCTGCGGGGATTCCACATGGAGGCGAATCCCATTGAAATAGACTGTAAAAGACAACAGTAATAAACCAATGGAGGTGTGGTTAAACTGACTCACATGCTCTGAAGCAAACCTGAAAGGCTTTTTATTCATCTGTTATTAATGTAATTTTCAGAGACAATTATATATTATTACAAAATACAACCATTATTTCAATGTAATAATTCTACTTCTATATTTCAAAACCGTTTTTTTGTTCAAAGGAACAAGTAACAGATTCTCTCTGAACGTGAGATCTTCACTGTTCACACTAAACCACTAATACAGAGCCCTTGATTTTTGATACAAGATTTAAAAAAATACTCACAAATTTCAACAATCTCAAGCAAGTAAGATAAACGCCCCGCTGAACGCCTCTGCCCCAATGTCTTTTTTGAAGGGGGGGCTTTAGAAGAAAACTCTGAGGCGTAATACTGCCACCTAGTGGGTGTGTCTGTCCACTACTAAATATGTCTACCCTGAGGCAGCACTATACTTGCACTCACAGAATAATATATATATACCTATATATATATATATATATATATATACATATACATATATATATATATATATACATATACATATATATATATATATATATATATATATGTATATATATGTGACTGTGGTTTAAGTTGCAGTACTAGTCAAAGATAGATAGATATAGATGATTTTGAATAGGTTGTATAAAAATGTACATCCACCCAAACAGAATTGTATTTTTAAAATCATAAGAATTTATATAGTCAGCATATTTATAAAAAGTCACTTGTAAAAATGTCTTTTTAAAGTGTGCCATTCTCATCTAAGGTTAAATCTAAGGTTAAAAAAAAGCTCAAAGTACACACGCACGCACACGCACATGGACGCACGCATTTTCAGGGCCCATGAAAACAGAAAGCCACATCAAACAGAGGTAGAGTTTGTTTTCATGACCTGCTGACTGTTTGGGCTTCATGAATTATAGTTGTCCTTCCTGCACTTCCAGGTGACTTCCTGCCAGCTGTGTTATCATATACACAGGCGTTGCGTGTCACTGACATATGTCCAGGAGACACAAAGGAAGAGGAGGAAGAGGAGGAGGAGGAGGAGGAGGAGGAGGAGGAGGAAGAGGAGGAGGAGAAGGAGTTATAACCTACTCTCTCCATTGCCGTTGCCGTTGCTGATATCCTGGTAGTGGAAACCATTGTTGTACCTGCTGATCCTGCTCTGACAGCTGGGCAGCAGCAGGCACCAGCAGGAAATCACCAGTAGGGGGCGCAGTAGACTGAGCATGACGTTGTCCTCTGTTAGAAACAACAAATACAGTTCTGAGAAAAAGGAAAAAAAAGAAAAAAAAAAGACTCCCCCTTGTCTGAAGACGGTCATAAATACCAGACACAGAGTTAAGTCCCCGTCCACTAATGACTGAGCCGTGACACTGGTTAACTCTAAGACTAAATTTAAATGGTTATCAGTCTGATTAATGGATCAATAAACACAGACAGACTCTATCAGCGATGCCCGCACCATCGATCTGAGCCTGACGTGATCAGTCCAGTAAACAGGCACTAACACGCGTTATTATACATATTAGGTTAACTTAATATGTAAAGTTACTCTGTGTGAAAAACAGTACAGGAAGACAAATACATGCCTACAAATATACAAATAGTAAAACGATGCAAATGACGTGAAAAATTGATGAATTAATTAATTATGCAAACAAAAAAAATTAACATATTCAACCAGGCGTTGTCAACAGAAATATAATGTACAAAAATACATATTATGATCCATTAAAATCCCCCAAAAGATTAAACATTACACGTATTTATATATATTATAAAAACAATCATCCATACACACGTTGTTTATCTTCATCTTTTGACGTCAGCTGTGCACGTCTTAAACTCAGTTTCTTTTCTGACGAAGAGCTTTTGTTGCTCTTTTAACTGCCCGTAAAAATAAAGATCGTGATGCCTTTAACAACAAAAAGGTTTTAAACGGCGATAATAAAAGTTTCTTAAAATTAAAATTAAAAAAAGACTCACAGATGAGACGATCGTGTCCACGCAGCGTGTCCTCACTCCGTGTCTTCATCCTCCGCTGTCTCTTCCCTACTGGAGCGTACGGCGATAGCGGGCGAGCGGCGGCGACGTCACGAATGGAGGCTTCCCGCTGAGGTGACCGGAGGAGAACCCACTGTGACGTCACGGCCGCGCATGCTGCACACAGTTGAGAAAGACCAGTTGTGGCAATGTTTAGTATTAACGGATTATTAATTTATGGACTACAAACCAGCAAAACACTGCGTGAACGTGTGTGTATAAATGCACTACAACAAACAAAAGTGTCCAGGGACAAAGGAAAATGCATTTCAAAATCGATTTCTGCAACTGAAAAGTTGGAACAAAAGCATTAAAACACTAAAAACTTCATAGGTCAGGTTTCTGTCTAGCAGACCGGTGTGTTAAAAAACAAAAAGTCCCTATCCTCAGTTATTTTAATAATAAAAAGATTTCAGGAATTCTTTATGTTGACCCCACTGCTTAATGTACATGACCTTTGAACTCTAAGGTGGTATTGTCTTAAAAACCACCATGCTACTATTATTGACTTAATGACGACTGACCATTTATAGAGAAACACTAACATCAGTTTTGTGCCTCGAAGTCCTTGGAGGCAAAGCTCATCTGAAATGGAATGAAAGACAGTGGACACTTGTACCAAATATGCCAAATAATGTCTGAATTAATTCATATTTAACAACTATATCAGGCTGACGTGTAACTTCTCCTTGTAAATAGAGTTTTAAGCATATTTACCACATATACTAATGCTATATATTACTGCATTTTTTAGAAGGTTTAACAACCGTTCTTGTACTAGAAGTAAAGCTACTCTGTGTAAAAGTGTGCCTCAAACCAGCAACACTGAGAAGAATCTGTGATTATTTACAGATTATTCCTGACAACAGGGGAAATTCTAGGAAGTTTGCCCTGGAAAACTCAATGCAGGGGGTGTTTGCTTCGATGGGATTTTTTTTTTTTTTTGACCCCCACAAGGAAAAATCTCTGCCTACTGTCATTTCTACTGTCATTTCCCAATCACCAGAATAGATAAAGAAATAAAAAGCACTGTGCAAAGTGGAGCTTGCACAGTTTTTGTACAGTCCTTAAAGAAACAATTACAAAGTGTCATTTATATCACAAAGCCTAAAATATAGGGGTTTTTAACCAGCATTAGTAAAAGTCAAAGTGCTGCTTAAATAACAGGATCCAGACAGAATTTGAGTTTGGGTCCCAGGGTTTATGAGAGAGAAAAATACTTTGGACGTATAAGATCATTTGTGAGAAAACTGCATTAGGAAGATCAATATTAAAGATGCTAATTCTATAGCTACATAAAAAGGACTAATTGTAAAATAAATATTGATAAAAAATAATAAAGGCTAGGAAAAACCCCTCCACATCTTGTGCACAGATGGAACCTGACAGCTACTCGCATCACTTCACCTAGCATTCACTTCAAATTGATGGGGGTCATTTCAACCCACCTGACCTCTTTCACGACCTCATCCTTTCCCACTAAAACTGCACTTTGAGCCAACGTGTGGTCTTCACCTCTCAACTTTTGAACCAAAACAGACAATTATGGCTTCATTATAACACAGAGGAACTGCTATATCTGTACAGACCAGGGCCGGCACTGTTTATCCAAAGTAAAAATATACAATTTCAACAAGCTCCAGTTTTATGTTTCTAGCTTTGCAGATTTTTTTCCCCCAAAACCCACACTATGTACGCAGTTTGAGTGCGAGTAACGACGTAGGAAAAAGTATAAACATTAACAACCCAGGTGTAGTTAACAGCAGTTTATGTTTGGATAATAAAACCCCACCTTGTTGGGTCTTTTTTACCTGGAGTTTAAGATATATTTGAGAAACAGAACATTTTTAAATTATTCATTTTATAGCCAAAATAATAATATCACCATCGTCCCTGAAGAGCAGCAGCAGCAGCAGCTTATGTGACCCTGGTATGTTGTGGCTGACAAAGCAAATATCCAACAGCTCTTTGTTTTGCCACAGCCTGGAGTTGCACAGTACAAAGTGCCACAAACTCGTATTTCAGTCACGAACTGAAAACATAGCAGTTGTGGTGGAGGACAATTGAAGAGCAATTCCAATGTTCCGCTGGGGCCTCGGGGAATGTGGCGCTCCTGCGCCACCACCCAGATATCTGAGTGATGGCCGATCATCACAGCGCAGATGGAAGCTGCCCTCCTGACACATGGCACGCAGTCATCGGCAAGGCATTACCGTGTGTCGGCCTGTCATAACACTGAAGAGGCACAGAGCTGCTAGGTTTGTGAGTTATCCTACGTGCAACACATTTCCTCTGCAGTCTGCTGCTCTAAAGTCACTCGTGTTTTTCTTCTGTCTTGACTGACACCCAAGCTGACTTCACGGAAACCCAAGAACACCACTAATTCAATCGAGTGGGGCAGTATGGTAGCTGCTGTGGTGGCAGAAGAGAATTTTGAGGAGAAAATTAATGGAAAAGACAATTTGGAGGTTGTGGTTTTCATCGTAAATTGCGTTACTTGTGGTAAAAACTGAAGGTCAGCCAGTGCCATCGCACGGTCTGTTTATGTAACACTTTTTTACCATTCAGCCATAAGACAACATGTAAAACCACCTACTGATGTGAGTGTGGAGTCAGCCTGATGTGACGATGAAGTTCATCATACAGCGGACATTTCTGCCCATACTCTCTCTATTTTATAGTTAACAGATGTCAAGTCATTCCATTAAAACATTCAACTTTGGGCGGAGTGGGTGGAGATAAGTGTCAGGGGTTGTGTGTGACACAACGATAACAGTCAGAGTAGAAGGAATGTTTACAGAAGGATGGTGAAACCTGCTATGACGTAATCTTTAGGGACTGGAACGCAATCTATGGGTTTGACGTACATTTAGAGAATGCGTGTTTGTAGAGCATAAATGACTTCAAATCATGAATAAAATATATTCTATCCTCAAATTCTTGACCCAGTTGAGAAAATAAATCAGACATTTTTTTAAAGAACTGAATGATTTGTCTTCTGGATGAGCCACAGAGAAGAAATCTATAGACAGTAAATAAAAGGCTACAGTGACTCAGAGTCATTAGTACTGTAGTAATTTGTCATCTTTAGAAAAAGGTAAGGGCGAAGCAGGGCGACATCAGCACCAAGCTGTGCTGTGTTTTGAAAAAGTCTAGCAGCTGTGCAAACTCCATCGTTAACATCTCCTTTCTTCATCCTTCGCGAAACGTAAATGTCAGAAGCGATTTGTGTCAAAGGATCCACGGGTTCTTAAAATGCTCCGTATGGACCAGAGTGAAGGACGGAGCAGCTTTGTGAATGTGGCTGAAACAATAGGAGCAAAAACATCTTCACTAAAAAAAAAATAAATTCAACAATTCTCTGAATTTCTGTGGCTACAGAACTACGACCTCAGCTTAAACCCCCGTGACCTTCAGACAGTCCAGCTACATGAAGGTCACTTCGAGGCAGTCAAACAAACACACGTCCTTTTGTGATTTGTGAAGACTTTACACAAATACCCTGCGTCCCCTCAGCTGTTACACTGACTCAAACCAAAATATGTTTAATCTCAATCCTTACTCTAACCCTAACCTAGTTATTCTCACATATTCTGTAACTAGAACTATTGTTTAATCTGTATCCTTACACCACAACCATAACTAGTTAACCAGGTTAAAATTCACATCTTCATGGTATTCTCAAACACCAGGATTTATTCTGCAGACTTTATAGGACGACTGGTCCATGGAAAAAAAAAAAAAAATCAAAAACACAAACGATGCCAGAAATGGTTTTAAGTAGGTTTAAACAAATCACTACACAAACACACACTCAGCCCAGTGGCAGGGAAACAATATCTGGACCAACATGTCATCAGCTGTGGTTTCCCTTCACTCAGGGTCTGGTCTTCATTTCTTCTTCTCTCTTTATTCCTCCCGTCTCTTACTTTGCTTAATTCACGTCATACAACTCTCTGAAGACAACATTCTTACTAATCTAGTCCTGGACAAATGACAAAACATGGATGCATTGACACAGTCCACGCCACCATTTAAGCTTTCGTTGTGAATAAACTGCTCAGACATATTTTATAAACCTTTGACCTTTATCTGTATTATTTTTCCACTACGATTGCATTTGTTAAATAAAACCAGTAGGTGGCGGTAAAGCAACTTAAGGATGCAAAGCTGGCGTTATAAACCTCAAAGAAGAAAGAAGAAGGTCTGGCTGGAGAGGGAAGTGATCAGCTAACATATAAAGGTCGACTCGTGTTTTTTTAATATATATGTAAATACCACCATTACATGTCCAGGACACAATTAATTAAAACTATCAATACATTTATCCTCGGAGGGGCTGGAGTCAATCGACTGGGCCACATATGGAGACTGTGTCTCCTACAGCATCACAAGTTCAATACTCTGTCTGCCCCGTCCATATGGTAGAATTGACATAAACATTGACTTTGACCTGACTCAAGGTGATGAAGTGGGTGAGATGACTAATAAATCAACCACAGCCTAAACATTAACCCACCAAGGCCACCGTAGCAAAGAAAAGGAACCATTACAGTTTCAAGGCTGCGTCCTGTGTGGATCATAAAGTACCATGGGAAGAATGAAGATGTTATTCTGGTCTGGAAAGAAAGTGGGCCCACAGACTGCTAAATGTCCACCGAGCATGAAATTGGTTTAATCACTAAATAAAATTAGCATTAGCAGAGTGGTTCTCTGAGTGTCACAGAGTCCCTGCAGCTGCAGCCCCCACTCTGAGCCGGGAGGACGGTCACTTCCCCTCCCTGTGTGTCCAGACCATTATCTCCCAGGTTGTTTGAAGAGACCAGATCGGTTGCTCTTCGCAAATCCTCAGATGAAAGGTTTTGGCCTCGGGCACCAAATACCAGCAGCCCGTGTGAACCGCAGCGATGGAGGGGAGTCATTTCTGCGAGTCAGCCACATTTACGTCCAGAGAGGTGAGGAGAGCTCATCCCACTGGAGTCCAAACAGGAGAGATGAAAGAGGAAGAGATGAGTGAGTGTGTTTGAATGTGTGCACGCTACGTCTGAAGTGGCAGGCAGCTGACTGTGACCATACACACACACACACACACACACTGTCATTAGCAAAGACTATTTTAAAGTGAAGGCTGGTCACGAAAGGTGTGTGTGAGAGAGTGAGAGAGTGTAAGGATTACAGACGAGCGCTTCAATAAAAGAGCATGGACAGAGAGAAGTGCAGGACGCAGGCCGACTGGGACTGTGAGATTAAAAGAAGCAGGGTAAAAAATGAGCTGTAATGACAAATAAACATCACGATTCCCCATCATTTTGTAACTCACACATACAATTTAAGTCCTGACTAAACACACAAAATGTCAAATAAAATGTAGAGCTGTAAACAACACTATTTCAAAGGCGCTCATCACTTGTCGAACCGAGGGTTTCTGCCACATACACCGGGGCAGAAATGATACACGTTCCCCTGTCGTTGGGATGAAGTCTATGGAGCTGTTGTTTGTGTTGGTGCAAAATAGCAGTTGTTTTCAGGAGTAGATTCTTCCTGTTTGAACCAACTGTGGTGTCTCCAGTTTCCTGCCCTCTTTGGCCTGATGCCTGCAGTCTACCCTGGCCAGCTGTCACACAAGGAAGGCAGAGTAAAAACAGCAGAGCAGAATGGAACTGATGAATGGTCAGAATCAAGTTCCAAAAAAATTAGCCAACAGGCATTAGAACGAGGTGATTCTGAGAAATCCAAACTGTTAGCAACATCAAGGAGGAAGACAGGAGCCAGAGAGAATATTCCCCATTCCAGGTTGAGGCTGCAGTGACAGCAGTCAGAAGAAAATCTCGACTCTTCCTTCTTTAGGTATTTCCACAAACTTACCCAACACAACCCTCTGTTACAATACCTAAGAATTTTAAGACCAACTCCCTCAAGCTTGTTTTGTGTCACCTAATTTAAACCACTCCCTGAGGCCTTTAGTGCACTTGGGATGACAACAAATTAGGGAAGAGAAGCTCGAGAAGATACGGGGTGTAAAGGAGGCATAAATGTTAGTAACACGCACTGGTCAAAAAAAAAAAGTAGAACTGAGCGTTTGAGAGAATGCCTTTCAGTAATTTTGCAGATTTAGGTGAATACACAATCAAGTGTCTATCTTTTGTTACATGCACTCTAAGGTAGTGTATGCCATTGTGGCAGGTATGGTAAACAGATAGGACACGAGAAAACAAACTTTGGTCAAACTATGTTTGAACCAGAGTCAGACTAAAACAAGAAGAAGCTAAAGAGGAAAGTCCAGAGCAAAGAATGAACCAGGATGTTTGTCAGAGGAGATTTACTGTGATTTTCATATGTACACTAACAACCACAAACCAGTGCCTCCAGTGTTAACATAATAAAGCTCTGTTCATTTAGCGCTGTGCTAAATAAGAGCGGCTGGAGTCAGAAGGCCTTGTTTGAGGCACTATTCCAGACTTTTGCAGATTACAAAACATCGACTCAAGTCACTCACTCAAAGACCTTCAGGCAGACAGTCCAGAGTACCAAATAATATTTCCCATTTAACGGAACAAGTGTGTCAAAATGCTTGACAAACAATGGGCTGTGGCCCAGACATTAAAGGAGATGTATTTGGAGGACAGAGATGCTCAGCTGCAACATCTGAGGTCCACATGTAGAGGAGCGGCGTCCTAGTAACAGGAACCAAACTCCAAAACTTTTAGATCTTTGATAAAGGACCTCAAAACGAGAACGAGTCGTAGCAAACAAAGCCTTTCCTAATGTCTCTACACACTCCAGCCTGTCAGCAGAGAACAAAGCTGCAGTGACTTTTATTAGAAGGGAACAAGGGAGAAAGCAGTCATTAGGTGGTGAACTCTGTGACTGCCAGCATCACTGTGCAAAAACAGCTGCTTTTTACACTGGGCGGCGGTTAAAGGCAAATATATGATCCATGGAGGGCTGACTTACAGGATAATTAGCTGGTATTTACTAATTGTAACACATAAAAATGGAACAACAGCATTTTCAACCCAGTGAAAATGCTGAAGGACGAAGTTTCACCTCCTCAGAGTCAAATATAAATACGTTCTTAGAAGACCTGGTACTTGAGCCTCGCAGACACATTTCCCCATTATTATTATGACCTGCACAGACTCTAATGAGACCCAGAAGAGGATGTGGCCTCCTCGGGTGAAGACACCTTCAGAAGATTGTGTGGTTGTATAAAGAGGGGGTGATTAAGCCCCTGGGGTGTTGAAATGCTAAAGAGGCAAAATGACACTCAGTGCTTTGGATCTTTTGATCTTCAACCTTTTTAAATGGAAAACAGCTCCGGTGAATTCTGCAGTATGACTAATTTTATAAACCCAACATTTCATATGCGTCCAATTCTGTTCGTCAATTCAAACCAGTTCTTAACCCCCTTTTTTAAATGATTTGTTTATTTATTAAGATACAATATCAAACAGAAAGGAATAATCTCAGAAACACAACACAGGGATTAAAGTTAAAAAAAAATTTAAACCTCCAAAAGTGGAGGTGAAAAATCAAAATAGCACGAGGAAACAAACTTTTATTACCATATAAACACACCAACAACATCTGTCTTCTAATCGTTTGAAGAAAACTTTTACACTAGGCCAACAAAACGTCTACAAAATCTGGCAAGTCCAAGTCATCAGTAAACTCAGACGGTGTCAAGTTTTTTTTGTTTTTTTTTCTCAATAACGCACACGCGGCTAACGATGGTTACGGCCCAGGGAATTTACACATATTGTAAAATCTTTGATACCATTGTTCATCCTCAGCCTCCCGACAACACTGCTCATGCATTTTTAAAAAGGTCCTTGAATTGTATTCATTGTTATCAAAACTACCACAGTATAATATTGCACAAGCCCATAATTTATAATTAATGGGGGAGAGCTGTTTTGAAAACTGACAGGAAGCACATGATGATATGGCAGGTCACGTTAGTTGTCCTGTGGAACAATAAGGAAAAAAAATCTGGATTGTATTTTGGTTTCTCTACTGCAGTCTTATCAGCACCTCCTCAGGTTTGAATGGGGAAAACAAATCAAGTGGACATCATAACAAACGTACTGCATTTTCCATGCCACATATTTTTACTACACAACCAGGGAAAAAGGCTTCTGTCAAGAACAAAAATACTATTTAACTAAAAAAAAATATTTTTTTTCTTATAACTGTATCAATAAATGCGTAAATACCTTTTCTTTAACACACAATACTGTTTTTTTTTTAAATTGCGTCTACTTAATTCAAATATCAAAACACAACCATCAAAGTGCCATAAAAAGTGAACGTGGGTGAGAACAAGTGGACACACAGCGGAGTGAGTGAGTGGATTAGTGTGGTTTCAGTAGCATTGGCTGTACGTGACATGAACATCTGTGCTGACCTGAGACGTCTGCTGCTGAGTTTTAACAATGCATGCAGTAAGTGGGTACTTATTGGTTTATTACTGCTCTTGACATCAGTGACACCAGTGTTCTGTCACTGCACAGTTACTGTTAGCAAGAGATTGAACACACGGGACGTTCAGCTGTTAAGATGATGCGAGAACCGAGAAGGAGCTCAACGCAAAAATGTAACAGGATACACGTCTGGGGAGGCAGCCAACGTCTAAACACTGCACTTACTGTTGTGTGGTTTTTTTTCTTCAATAATGACATGTCGTCGTATGGATTTGTCTTTCGGTTTGTGTGTCTCTACATCAGTGCACCATGTTTTTTTTTTTTACATATACTCAGAAGAACAAAAACCTGAGGATTTGTTGGCACAGAAACACACAACTTATACACACACAACAATTCACACACGGGGTCAGTAGAAATAAGATCTCATAGAGGAGTATTAGTTGGTTCATTAACTAGTAACTACTATTACTCTTTTACTGACTACTATAGTTGATATGTGAATACTGTTAACCCTCACTGTTGTCCTCCGGAGCAGGTTAAAGACATTTCATCGTACAAAATAATAATTGCCCGGAAAATACTAAAAAATATTGTTGCACACAAAATCTTTTTTTTTTCTCAAATAACACAACCCGTGTCAACAAGAAGAGTAAGAAATACTGTAGAAGGATGAATGGATCCTGTATCCTCTAAGACAACATACTGTATATTCAGTGTCTTGGGGGAGGGGTCAGCAGGGTGAGGTGCAATAAAGGGGGAGCTGTTAGAGAGAAGCTTATATGTACATCACCAGCCGTGGGTCTTGGAGGTTCCACGTCCCAGGTCCATCTGACCTGACCAGGGTTTGTTTGAGTTAAAACAGCACCAAGTGATAAAGCAGCAGCAGCAGCATGGCTACCTCTAATCTCACAAGAAAACAAAAAAGAAAGATTGACCAAATTTGATCTCATTAGGATTAAAAAAAAACAAAAAAAAAAACAAAATAGGAGAACATAACAACTAAAAATATGGCAGATTTCTGTAGAGGGAAGTCTAAGCCCTGGTGGCCATGGTTAAAGGTAGCACTGCCAACCAGCCAGGGATGGAGGTGAGGTGCTGCTCTGGTGTTTGCTGCCCCCTATGGCTGAGAGGAAAGCATTGTAGATGTAAAAAAAAAAAGGGCTGAGAGGAAAGCATTGTAGATAAGGGTAAACAAGAGGTGACAAGAGGGCAGGAGGTAGGTAAAGAGAGTGAGAGAGAGAGGGATGAAGTGAAGGAGAGACAGTGGTAAAGGCTGCTTTATTCATCACAGCCCAGGAGCTCCATCCTTAGGGTGATGCGCTCGTGCCAGTCCCAGGGCAGGACACGGACATATCGGCAGTAGAAGGGCGGGTCAAAGATGTTGATTTTGTGAACGTTGTTGTCACTGTTGCCCGGAAAAATCTAAACACAGAAGAGCAGACGGATCAAAGCTACTTTTAAAGATTCAAGTTTTTATATTGACAACACACCACTGTGTTTAAAACAGCAGTTTGAATTGTAATGAAAAGATGTTGTAAAATTAACACATGGTTACGAAATAATTCTATGAAAACACTACAAAGTTACAGCTTCTGGTGGGGTTCTGTTTTCTTGTGAACGTCTGAAAGGCAGAAAATTATACCATTACCTGACCGGCCTCTAAAGCCATGACGCAATCATGTAAAAGAAACTTTGGCAAGGGGAACAAACCCACACACAAATGCCATATAAATCCCCCCAAACCAGATTTAAGGCCCTATAATGAATTTCAGTTCTAAACATTTCATGGATTAGGTCAGAGCGAACACGGCCAGTTCTCCTCATGCTCCTCATTCACTGCTTTCATTTTATCTGGCAGAAATATGACTTTCTGGATGCACTGTGAAAGAATGCATGCCCAAAGCTAATTAGACACAGTGTCAACACGATTGGTTCCACCTGTGTACGAGCTGCACTTTACTTTTCCTTCGAAAAACACAAATTAGGGACCACTACAAACACCATTAAGGCCTTCTCTTCTCCCCAACATAATTGATTCAGCTTGTTAGCTCACATGTGTTTTTGTTCATAGCATTGCCCTAACATTTTAACATGAGTCCAAAGAATTGTGTAAAAAACTTCTTTGCAGCCACATATTTATACATCATAGATTTTTTTTATCGAGCTGAATCTTCAAACTTAGGTTTCTGTGAGTGGACTGACCCTGTCTTTATTGGTGGTCTCGTCCTTTACGACGGTCCAGGACCGCCCATCGTCACTGTGAGCCACTTTGAAGGCTGTGATGAACTGGATGGAGCCGAAGTCTTTGGCTCCCTGTGTGATGATCCCTGATATCTTCTTAGGAGATGTAAGGTCCACCTGAAGACACACAAACATGTATTTTTACCACAGTGTAAAAATAAACCCCCACACACACACACACCGTTCTGCCTTGTCCCGGTCTGTCTACCTGCAGCCACTCTGATTGGTTGTTGGTGGCGGCGGTCCAAGCATTAGTCTTGCCCTGTTTGTCCAGCCGAGCGTAGTGAGGGAGCCAGGTGAAGGCCTCGATGCCCCAGGTGCGGAAGGTGCTGGAGGCTGTAATCTGACGATCGGTCACCAGTCTGGACTTCATGCCCATGGGCTCTGAACAACCTGGAGTGGTTGAATACACTGTGAAGGTGAGACCAGGCAGAGTAACAGAGGGAGAGAAACAGGAGAAGACGAACGGAAGGACACAGGAAGACAGTGTGACAGACAAATGGCAGACAGGACATGGTGCAGGACAGGGAGTGTAAAAATACTGAGACGACATGAACTAATGGACCATATGTAGAACGGCAGCCACATACAGACTTGGTAGATCTTTAGTTCGAGCTTTAGGAGTCGACATAAGAATAGAAGTTGACACTCCAACCCAACACAACAACACACATTTAAAGTTTGTGTACAAGAAGGGAACTGCAATTATGGAGGAGAACAAATGGACAAAGAAACATCCAAGATCTACACAGAACAGAGGCTGAAGTGGGAAGACAACAGTTGACCTGTCGTGAGGCAGGAGGATTATCTACTGTCTGAGACAACAAAGTTAGGGTAAAAAGGTCAGGACAGGTCAGTTAAAAGGAAAACCATTCTGTTCTTTAATAAACAGAACAAACAAAATGCCTTTACTACAGAAACAATTTTTTTTTTGTTTGTTTTTTCCTAAGAAGCCGCCGACACGAGAACAGATCAGAAAAGAAAATGAAAACTGTCAGACAAATGTGTTCTCTGAGATCAAAAGTCTGAATCATGAATATTTGACACAGTCATTATCATTAGTCACAATATGTCCACGTGGTTTTAATAAGAACCTTTGAGATGACAGTTAAACAACAACCACAGGCAGTGGACATCTGGGCCTGAGGTGACTGACTGGGGGATAAAAATTAATTCGAGCCACTGAGGGAAGGACTAAAAAAATGTAAGGAGCTGATATACAATAAAAGATGATTACTAATTATTATAAGGATGTTCTTGTCTCTTTGTAGTAACACTGACAACCACTAAATGACATTTCATTCTTTAGTCATTGCCTACCGTTGAGCTCACATCCCACCAACTCCATGCGCAGAGTGCAGGCCTTGCGACAAACCACGGGAATGATGCGCATGTACTGGGCAATGATGGGAGGGTCAAACAGGTTGGTCTTGGTGCTGTCATTGTCCACATTTCCCACAAATATCTGGACAAGAAGAAGACAAAAATGCACTAAGCCATGGGATAAACTGATGTGGACATTACCTGTAATCTCAAGCACCAAAGATCATAGATGAGTCACAGTGTTTACAAAGTATGAACAGATTATTATGTAGAAGAATGGCCAGTGTTCTAGAGTTTTCTTCCACAGTCCAAAAATACACAGGATCAGGACAATTGGACTTTTGAAATTGACCGTAGGCATTAATGTAGGTATGAAATGTTCTTGGTCTCTATGTCTATGTGGCTCTGCAGGTTCAGGGTGTAGCCCACGCCCACCCTTTGACTGCAGGGATCATCCCACCCTCCCACCACAGTGAAGTGTTATGATCCACAGCCTTAGAGTAGAAGGTAAGTTTAACCATAAGATGACATGTTGTGCTGCAGCGTCCTGACAAATCTCCTTACGTGGTCCATTCTCTCTTCTTCCGTTCTGTACATGGTGTATGTTTTGCCATCCAGGCTGGACGCCACCTTGAAGGCTTTGATAAACTCAGCCGATCCAATGCGACTGGCACCTTGAGTGACGATTCCAGTGACACGCATCTTCCTCTTCAAGTTGATCTGGGAGTAATTCAAAGGAGAAACTGAAGGGAACTTTGAGCTGTACAACGCTATAAAATGAAGCATGAATTTGGAAAATATTCAACATGTAAAAAAAATGACATGGAAAAGTAAAGTGCCTGATTTTCTATTTGAACATCTCTCTGAGGACATCTGTCCTCGTTACAGACCTAGTCCACTTTTTTTGGACAGTCATTCTCTGGCCTCACCTGAATCCACGGGTTTCTATCATGTGCAGCAGAGCTCCAGGCGTTAACTAGTCCCTTGTTGTGCAGTCGTGCCAGCTCAGGCCCCCAGCGCTGCAGGCCCAGCAGGGTGTAACGCACTGATGAGGCTGAGATCTGGGACTCGGCGATGCCTCCACCCTCCATGCCGAGCAGAGAGATGCAGCCTGTGGAGAAGAATAAAATGACATTTCCACCCTTCAGGTAATGATGGTAATTTGTTATATTAGGAATAACAAATGTAAGTGCAAGTACATGTGATTTGTGTATTTATATGTATAAATCCACTTTGTATGCTCATAATTAATATCGAGTAGTGCCTGTCCTGTAGCCACATGGCCCTCAGCTGGGAGCATGTTGTTGTAGAGAGCAGACACTTACGCAGTTGGCAGTGTTTGCCCACATACGGAGACGGGCAGTGGCATTTAAAATCTCCTTCCAGGTCCCTGCAGGTGCCACCATTCAGACATGGCTGACCTACACAGTCATTTATATCTGCAGGGAGAAAGAAAAACAATGTAACTGACCAGGGCTGAATGAAAAACGGTTCACTGCTCAACTCTAATCAGCCGGTCTGTTTGAGATCACAGTTAGAGAGTGAGAATCACATGTCATGCTTCAGAATTAGGCCTGGATACTTTCTGAAGGAGGGGTTAGTTGAAGGAAGCCATGCCGAGAGGTCTGCAGCTGTAGGTGAAGGAAGGCCAGAGACGGGAGCTGGAGCCTGGATCAATAAGGCTCGTGTCAAAGACCCAGCTGCACCATGAGATCATGTGGTTGGAGAGCACAGTGGATGATGAAATACGGAGCAGTGTGAAGTCTCTGGCTCTGGTTGAACAATTTATTTTGAGGACATATTACAATATTCTTAAAATGTCTTCATTAAAAACCCCTTTCTAATTTAAAAACTGCATTTAAACTCCCCTGTAGTTCATTGTACTTCCTCCTGAGGGCACCCTCAGCAACATTGTTGGTTCAACTCATGTTATTTATTATGGTACTCTGAGGAATACCATTGAGACAGAACTCAATGCTGATGAATTCAAATTTATTTATTTGTCACCTTTAAGAATTCCCAGATTGGATTAGAAAAAAAAAACTGAAAAAGATTCACTTCTAGCGGATGTCTGCAGGATCCACGGGGGATTTAATTTCAATGTTTCAACTCTCACAAGCTGTTATGTTGAAGGTACAGGCAAACAAACCCAGGAACATGAAGGAAGGTACAGGCAAACAAACCCAGGAACACCAATGAGATGTCTCAAACTAACAAACACACACATGGCAGTATCTCCTCACCCACACACTGTTCCTATAAATAGCCTTGTGTCAAACATTCACATATACACTGGGATTAAAGGAACACTTTTCACTGATTCCTTAAATGGGCTCTTCCTTCATGCACATTCCAAAGGTTTGGTCTGGGAAATCACTCTAGTTCAGATTAAACTAAAATATTTTCAACTGCTTCACTGCTGTGACATGTTTCTTTTGGTGACAGTTACAGAGCTGGCACCTCAGACAGGCTGAGACACGCTGACGCATTCATTTTTAACAGTATCTGAACAGTATCAGGTTTTACTGGAGGAGCAGACGAGGATCTGCTTTGATTGTTTAAATAGTCTAAATATAATGGGGGCAGGAGGGGCAGAAGACAAAATGAGAAGTGGGTACAAAGTTATTATGAGCCATATTAAAAATACTTGCTACTTTTATTTCTTCCGTTCTGAAGTGACATCTCTGGACACTCACTCACTAAACTCTGACATCAGATGTGATTTTACATCCAAGATTTTTTATTGGTTTAAAATCCAAGATATTTAGAAATTCTTGAGTTCTTTTTAGAGTTTATCTTTGAGTACATGTGGTATTCACTTTGACTCACTATTTTGCCACTTTGTCCAAAAGTCAACTTTGCTGCCTCTAAAACTGAACTTCAACTTTGAGTTATATAATAATAATAAATATAATAATTCCTGCTTCTTCCATATACATTAAATACAATCTCTCAAGGAGCTAATGCAAAGGGACTAAAGAGCCATCTGTAGGTCAGGAGCCACAGGTTGAAGACCTACAGGTTGGGGACTGTAAGTCCATCAACTGTGACTATAATGAGGCATCAAACCAGTCATTTCCTACTGAGCACACAGACCAGAGTCCGGCACACACTTTCATCACATCACTAATTAATGACAGACAGGTGGAAACTCTGTTCCAAACCTGGTGTCTGCCTCCACTGGTGGGCAACTCTCAAGAGAGTCCAGTCGACGCACTAGAAAGACCCCACAGTCTTTAAGATGTAGTTTTATTTTATTTAATCTGATAATGTGTCGACCAGATTAGGGACAGTCTGACAAGGTCATGACATGACAGGGTCTGAGGCCACAATCACTAAAACAGATGTGTGTACTAACACGGCAGCAGTCAGTTTGTTTACTAGTCTTGACTCCACATGCCTGAAATGTATACAGTCACAATTCTCTGGTTACCTGTGGACACAAGACACACACACAGACGGACACACACACACACAGAGCTAATGATCCTGTCACAGCGATGGAAACAATACTGTCTCCCTGTCCTACACTGTATGAAGCAGCAGCTGCTCTCAGCACATACAGTATGGATGTAGGCGGCAGATCATGTGCCTGACCCCTGTCCACCGAAAAAACCAATAGCTTCCAACAGAAACTGCACACTACTGGGTTTGTCGATACCTGCCTCAGCATGAACTAAATGCCAATATGAACCTCACTTGAAACGAGAGCCGTATCAATACGACGGCAGCTTTTAGCACAACCAGCAAAGTCCACCATCCCTGGAGCAGGATTTGGACGTTAAAAAAATTGCTTAACAAAGAAGTCAGACTCTGGAGTAAAATGTTGTGTTCTCCAAACCCCTTACAGTGACTCCTTTGACGACGACCCCTTACCAGAGGTATTAAAATACTAAAGATATATACATCATTAAAACAAAAATAAAATCAACAGTTACTCCTTTTTATTGTGTCATTTTAAAATTATCAAAAAAATATTTGTTTTTAGTCCCTTCCTCCCTGGTTGCCATAGTTCAACAACTGAGGGAATGTTTAAAAGATGTAATGATCACCATTCAGAGCCACAACATCATTATTAAATAGAAAAAAGAGAGCGATAGGTTTCCAGATGTGTCATTTTGGAGCAGCAGAACGAGCCGCAGCAGGACCCAGAATAGCTGTAAACGGGACGTCAGCCAGAGTGCCACCGTGTGCTCAAACGTCTGATGCCATAACGTTTATTTACAGAGCAAATATATTTTTAAAGCTGTGATTCTAAGCACTTAGCATTAAAACAGATGAAGGCATGGTCACCTTAGATCCTCCGTGCTTCAGCTGTGGTTATTTAAGTTTACAGCCTGGACTGACTGCGTTAAATACAATAAATGTCAATTAAAGTTGTATAATTTATTGAATTAAATTGTTATTTATTTTATTAATCAGAACACTGACATTAAAAATGATTTAAATCAGAAAAATAATTATAATAAATATCATCCAAACAACCCTGTTGTGAATTCATTTGGTGTGACCAAAAATTAGACTTGGATAATAACAACAGATTTTTCCTTGCTACACAACACAACATGTTTATTTTTGAGGGACAATTATAGTTTAAACATCAAAACCAAAATCCAAAGCACTCTCATCATCCAATGTTTGGCAGAGGAAGAAAATCTGTCCTGAGCAAACACTCAAGGTTATTATTTTTTTTCCACTACAAGAAGTAGTAACAGTACTCTGGAAAGTACCACGACCTGTGCTTTTTCATACTGTACTTATATATTACAATAAATCCTGCCTTATCTAACAACACAAGGAAACATTATTCCCCTGGATGTCAAGAAAGCATGTAAAAACATTACATTTTTGTACTGTACCACACTGGGTGTGTCACTTTTTTGGTGCTTTTTTTTTTAAATTTTTGATATATTTTTTATTCATTTCTATAGGAAAAGTGAATTAACGTCAGCATTCAGGCCGAGGAAACGCTGTGAGTCAGGACATACCAATGCGATGAAATCACCTTATCTTTATAGAAAAAACATGTTCTACTTTTTGAGAAAGTGTTTCAAATCTCAAAAGAGAAACCTTGTTTTGTTTGGGTTTTTTAAAAAAAGGCAAGTTCTGTCAGATCTGTGAGCAACACAAACTGTAATACATGCAGGATACACACTTATTTTACTCAGTAGGGGGCACAGAGCCAAGTCTGCCCACACTACCACATCCTGGGAGGAGCAGAAAACTTAACAGACCAGCACACACACACACACACACACACACACACACATCCCTTGGCTTCATCCTGTAGCAAATAACTGCATTTATCTGATGCAAAAATCTAGGATTTGGAGACTGCCAGTAGGAAAGACTAATGCACACAGACTGTTTCCAGCACAGACATTCAAAGTGAACAGCTTTCCTTACTTCTTTTCTCCTCCATCTTTTTATCCATCCACCCATTTGTCCGTCTATTTATTTGTGGCCATACTCCACCACCACCCATAAAGGCTTTTAGAGCAATTTGATGAGACAGTCAGAATTGCAGCCGCCAGACTTGAGTAGAGAGTGTGACATTGTCAGGAGGGCAGACTTAATTCACCGTTCCGCCTACACGTTCACTTTTTCGCCCGGCAACAGGAGCAGCGATGACGTTGTGCATGGGCCGCCACTTTCTGTTGGCTGGACTGGAACAAGGGCTAAACCGTGTGTGCACGTGTATGCTAAACAGTCTCTATATCAGACCCAGAGCTCAACTGTGTGTTGGTTTACCAAGAGATATGGGGTAGAGACGCAGAGATTTTTGGTCGTTTTCACATCTGTTTCTCATGGAATTTTTTTTCTTTTTTCTCCTTTGAAAGTGCTGACAATTCCAAAATAAGTAAGAATAAAGACATAGGGGAGAGGTAACCCCCCGTTTTGGCCTAGACAAAACATCCTTCTGCAGGGATTTTTTTTTCTATTTTTGTTTTTTCAGAATGCTGTATTTTTGCAGAAAGGAAAATATAGTACAGTACAGAGAGCTCACGTTTCCAAACATCTTTTTCACTCTTTTGACTGTGTCTGTTCCAGCATTGGCGCTGGCTGCTTCACCCACACACACTTAAACAAAAGCCCAAATTAAAGAACACTTTAAGTGTCACAACACGGTCCTCTTGGCCGTGAATGAAGGGGTTCCTCCCTGGTTCACATAACCAGCGTGGTCAAATAAATTCCCCCTCATCAGTATTTGCGAGGCCTTATCTAATTAGTGTAAATGGCTGCTCTGCAGCAGCCGTGTTCTCTGGCAGCTCACTCTCACTCTCCTTCAAAAATGACTTGTATAGATTTTTATGAGCTGTGATTTGTGGTTCTCGGTGGTTAAACACAAATGGATAACTGGGACTGTTATTATAAAAGACAAATGAGGGCTTTGGGCACAAATATGAGTGTGGAGAATCAGATTATTATAGATGCTATTTTTGACCAAGACAGCACTGTATTATCACTCGTCTCTAAGAAAGAAAAAAAGATGATATCTTCTTCTCAGAGATGGGTGCACTGTTACTGTTACATCCTACAGTGACTGCTGCTGGACCTGGCTGCCTACAAAGAGGAGAAAATGTTAACCTTAGCAGTTTCCCACTGTGTTTGTGGGAAATGCAGGTCTGATGCAGCCAGTAGAACAGAGAGTACCCAGATGCAAGAAGCAAGTGTTAAAGCGCACACATGCGCACACACACATTCACTCTTCAGTTTCCTTTTACCTTCTTTCAAATCTGCCCCCTGGACACCTAGGATAAGAAGGCACACATAATCAAACACAGATGCACTTCCGTTTTGCCTAAAAGATTCTTGCTGATATATTCCTTTTTTTTTCCGCCTTTTTTTTTGGCTGTTGTTGTTGTGCCGTCATCTCGTGCAAGCAGTAGCCATCTGTCTCTGTACATGTAGTGTGTGTCTGTGGGGCTGGAGGCAGCATTAGAAGAGCAGCACATGTTCCCACACAGTCATTTCCCCTCTTCCATGCCGACCCTGACTGAACCCATCCAGGTCTGAGTGATGTGTGAATGGAGCTCACATAAGGAGGACAGCTGCCTGTCTGGTGTCCAGCTCCCACGGCAGCTGTCCTCAGGTTAATGTGTCAGTTTAGACAAATTAACGCTGGACGTCAGTGGATTGTTAAACTGTCATGTAACTGTTTTTTTTTATTGATTTCATCCTTCAGTTCTTCAGTGCATTCTTCAGTCAGTACTCATTCCTTAGCATCAACCATTTACATTTTGCCTATAAATTTAAACAATATAATCTGGCAACAATCAAGTGATCTATCCTCAGATTACCAGTGGTTCTACAGTTTGCTGCTAAGTCAATTTAATGATGGAGGAGACTTACTGTTCTGACAGTGGAATCCTTCAAAGCCCGGCTGACACTTGCAGATATATTCACTGAAGACGTCTCCCCTACGGGTGAGGCCCGTCACCTCGCAGAGGCCATCATTTTTGCAGGGGTTGGGCACGCAGGGTCCTTTAGTTGCCAGAGAAAAAAGAAATGCAGATTAAGGAGTGCAGGAGATTTTAATTTGCAATTTTCAACTGGGAAACATCGATGATTGACCCACCTATCGCTGTCTCGTTGCAGGTATCTCCAGAGAAGCCATCAGGACAGATACAGATGAAGGGAGCTCCTGCTCCAGTCACACAAGTGCCACCATTACTGCACACATTCACTTTACAGTAGTCACCTGCAGACAGAGGGTGTGACAGGTTGAATGGTTCTGGACAGTCTACTGTCACACAATGACAAACAGAAACAAGCAGCTGACAGGTAGCTGAGGGGGAAGCAGAAATGTGCCAATTAAGAACAATAGCACTGACGTTTCTGAAAGTCACAGCTGGTCTGCACTCAGCCGACACAAATCGGAGAGCATTCATTTTCCTTCGAACGGTGTCTTTTTAAATATGACACCAGGTTTGGCTTGATCTTTCACATCCGTAGATATGTGAGAGTTGAACATTTTACTGCTGTATATCATATTCTCAGGATGTATCAGGATCCTTTCCTGATACATCCTGAGAATATGACTGCATCAGTACAAACTTGTAGGTGGTTTAAGTAGATCAGTGTTTTTCTGGCATTAAAACTACATTCTAAAGGTTTTTTTTAACAAGCCAGGGTGTAAAGTGTTCCTGTGAATTTTTGTCCAAAAAAGGTCATGTTTTTTCTTTGAACTTATTTTCATTTGCCAGTTCATTCCTTTTTTTTTTTTTTTTTTTTTTTTTTGACCCGGGGAAAAAAGTGAAAACAGCCTCCTGCGGTTTGGGTGAACAGCTGAGTAAGCCATCACTGCTCTGTAAACAGCACAAAGTCTGGATGCTTCCACCGGCTTCACCACTGACTGGTATGAATCTGACAATCTGGCAACAGTCTGGACACCAGGGAAATCATGACATGTAAAAGTGGGTGGAGGAAAAAAGAAGGGGATGTGAGGGCGGGAAGTGGTTTTCAACAGGGAACACCAATTGAGATATGATTTAGCATCAGTGGGTGTTTCACTACACATGGATATCCGTGATGACTTCAAATCTATGGTATCTCTGAAAAGAAAAAGGTACAAATTATGAATTCAGATAAGTGGTCTGAACAGCTAAGCTAAAGCCTTGATATATGGTCTAAACAATATACCACATGTAATTACAGTTAACAGCTATATGGTCTGAACAATATGCCACATGTAATTACAGTTATCCACACATACACCACATAGCACCGTGGAAATTTACTTTTAAATTATACATTTCAAAACTAATTTGTCACTTTAAATATGGAGGAAGTGAATCGTCGGGGTGCACTTTAACACCGGCGGAAACAGGGATGGCATTTCCGAGTTAACACTTATCATTTGGATAATTGTTCACGAGATTGAGGTCAAACCCATGTGTGAAACTGGCGCTTTACAGTACGTGTGGTGCCGTTACGTCCCAGTTCTGACCACATTTTTCTTTTACTTAGAAGAAAGCAAAGTGCAGGAAATACATATTTTTCACCACTCTATTTGTATGTGCCCAAAATAACCCTTAAAAGACACTTAAAAACATCTTCTAACATCGTCTAACACTGTGTAAACTCTCATTTGAGAAAGTCTAACACTGTGTAAACTCTCATTTGACTTTGCTTTTAACAACAGATGTACTGTACAAGCCAAGCCAAGGTCCATTATCCAGGAGAGTATCCTTGAATTGCGTAGGGAAGAGGAGGGAACATGCTAAAGAAAAGAACCCACTCTGCCAACATCCTGTCTGGCTGTTTATGCACTGAACTGCATTCCCAGTGTTATCTGAGCTATATCCAATGCCTTGGCCTTCAAGTTCTATCATTTCTCATAACACTGTTAGTAGGGAGGCTTGGCTGGCACACACTTATCCCAAGACTATGGCCTCTTTATCTCAAGGAGAAATTCATTTTGATACTGGCAGACTGCTAGTGTCAGGAAGCTCACAAAAGGAGGAAAACATGACGTTTGACTCAAACAGCTGGACTGATAAACTTGTGACATTTCAGATAAAGATTCCAAAGTTAAAACATCCACAAAGGCTACTTCCCACCACCTCCCTCAACCTTAAGAAACAAAGAGAGGGACTGCATGGACGTTTCTAACAAACAAACTACCCCAGTAATTTTAATGCAAACTTTTGGAAAATCAACTCAGTAGGTGACACTGGAGATACTGACTATTGTAAATTATAAATCTAAAAACAAAACCTTTAAAGAGAACACAATTTCAGTGGTTTTTATGGAATGTAGGTGGGTGTGTTTTTTAAATTTTAAATCCCTTTTTTCACTAAGACCACAGGCAACTGCGTTTTTTTAGTCATCCTTCTCACAAAACAAGAAAACCCAAACAAAAAAGGATGAGGGAAAAAAAACACCTTCACAGAGGTTAAAAAACAAAAGTCTCAGTAGACATTGCATGTGGTCTGCTGTGACTGAAGGGTAACGAAGTCAAAGGACTGTTATTGAGGAAATTATATTAGCCCTGAATTAGTCAAGGTGGTCAGCAGAGAGACAGTGGTCAAACCACCAAATGCTTCGTGAAAATCCCAGAAGTGATGCCACTGTCGATGGAAAACCACATCAGTGAGAAATTACACACTGATGTAAACTACATTTTTCCCTTCACTATTTAAACTTTTCCACACTAGACTTTCAAAAATGATGGCATCTTGAATATGTCACTGCACAAGTGTCTTGAGAAAGCAAAAAGATCTGGCTTTGGATTCAGCCAGTTGAAGAAAATAAGCAGTTTTGTCTTGTGTGGTTTTCCTCTAATTGAAAGCTCTGCTGCAGTTTCAGAGAAAACAGACTTGTTCTTCTCTATTATCCAAACACACAGCTGTGGGTAAACATATGGTGGAAATATATATCGGAAATTTGGATTTCCCACAGAATCTTGGAGCTGGGAATATTTGTGTACCTCACGATTCCAATTGATTATGAGGACAATTATTATAAATGCATTATAAAAATGATTATGAGACAACTATTCAAATTTGTAGAAAATTCAATGACAAATGCATTATAATATTACAAATTTTATTAACTACAAATATCTCATGGAGGAAAGAGGATTCCACAGAAAAACACTAACAGCTCAATGTAGTTAATTTAATTTGATTACTAAGCAATTCTTTAAGGAACATTCACAATGTGATGACAAGTTAGGCCAGAAATGTTGGCCTTTCAACATGTAAAGACTGTCATAGATGTAAACTGACCACATGAACTTATCAAGGCCATCCATCGGTAAATGACGCGGTGCTGTGCTGGTAAATACAGTGTATAATACTGTCTATTTGTAATTTACGGTTTATAACTGTGGCCAATGATTCAACAAGTTGGAGCCTTTTAGATTCTCTTCATTCCCTAATAAATTATAAAAACCACAACCATAACCACAGTGAGATACTGTCTGTCACATTGGTATAATTAGCATCTAGATACCCAATACTTGCCCAAATTACATCAGTGTTAAATGTGCCCGAATTTAGGACTCAACCTCAGCGACAGATTAGGTAAGGTATGTAAAGTTATGTTTGGCAGAACAACCCATTTCCACAGGGCATTGTGTTTTTATTTTTTATTTCTTGTGAGTCACGTCAATGCCTTTCCCATGATGCTTCAGCCTCATGATGACACTCAAATACCAGGGCAACAACACCAATTAGTTGGAGTCAACAACATATAACAATTGAGTCAGCAGTGGGTGAGATTCATAGGCGTGAAACAGACTCAGATTTGAAAACTGGATATTATCAAGATTAGAAACTTGAGAGTAAAAGTATTAAACAAACTTGTGGGAAAGGGAACTGAAAGATTATGAACATTACTGACAAACACAACTAATGTAGTGCATTTGCAGATGAATAATGTTAAGGTTTTTCCAAAACCAGATTCAGACTTCATGTGGTTTGAGTGACTGTTCTGCTGGAGCAGGGTGTGAAGTTTGGCATAAACCTTTCCAACAGTCGTCTGTTTACTTCAAGAGAAAAACAACTGTTAACGGTAGAACAATACACAGCATGTTCATGCATGTCTCCCCTTGAAACTCTACAAAGGAATGACATTATTGTCCTTACGGCGATGCAAGCAGCCAAGTCAACACATTTGACCTATGTCTGTTCAATGGACACAACAGAAGAAAATAACCTTTTTATTAAGACAAGCAGTAAAGGCTGGAAGGATGGGGGCTTTTTAGGAGTCATCTAAGGGCTCTGCTGCCACATGGTTTTGAACATGAGGGAACCATTTGAGGACACAAGGACGAGGGGTGAGCACTATAAGGACAGTAGTGGAAACACAAACTGTCAGCAGTTAAAGAGGTCATTTATTACAATGGAGAAAAAGACATCAGGTCGTTGAATTTTCAAAAATGAGGCTGGTTAAAGTTAATGTGAATGCATACGAATGCTTTACATTAACATCAAAAAATACATTCACAAATCACTAACAGTGTTGGTCTGTGTGCTTGTTTGCGTCAGTGCCCTGTGTGCCCAGAGGCCTGAGAACAGTAAACACTCTGCTCTGTCACACACATGTTGGTGCATATAGGCTGGCATGAAAATGTGGGAACTCAGTGTTCCAGAAACCATTAAAGTAACGCCTTACACACACGCACACAGAAAGTCCAGTCTGGTTAAACATGTGCTGATGTATAATGAAAAGTCCTAAGACCTGTCGAGTGCTTATCTGGTGTGATTAGCTGCCGCTGCTAAATTGCCCCAAGTGCTGAAGAAATTAGAATGAGAGTATGTGAACATGAATTACCAGGAGGAGGATTTATCAAGGTCAGGCCTTCTTTAATCCTTAAATAACCCAGATTTTTTTTTTTATTAAAAATGAAGATCAAGAAGACGACTCCTGATAAAGATGATTTTCCTGTAACCTTACTGCACCACTCTAAAGAAGCACAGCCATCTGCTGCTGTTCAAAAAATAAATAAATAAAAATCAAAACAATCATAGCCAGCGTCTAAAAATACACAAGCGTCACACACCATCAACAGCATAACAAGCTTTTCTCTAAAGAACTAGGCACAGTGTTTTAAAAATCGAAATGCACTGTTATATAACTAGTTACAGATATAGATTAACAAATCCTCTAGAATGTATGTGGTAAGATTTTACCCACTAAACATTTTAACTTTAATGATGTGTATGTGTATGAGTAAGACGGAGGAAACGGTCAGACCGGAGATTCTAATCAAGTGGCCAAAATTAGAACACAATTCATATGGCTATGAAAAATTCAGTAAGCCATTCTGAATTCAGATGGAAGACAGTGAGTCTGCACTTCTGATATTATAAAGGACAAGTACAAAGACGGAGCTGAAGGACATCTGATGAATATAACAAAAGAGTTATTCAGAAGTGCATACTTTATTGAATACATCCCTAGGAGACTTTTTAAACAATCCTACACTTGTTTCATTGTGTTTTTAAAAGTCAATTTACGCAGTGAAATCATATTTTCATTATCAATATTTCTCAAGTGCATTGCCTTACAACTCATATCAGCAAGTGAACTCATCACATTATTTGGAACACTCGACTGCAGATTCAACTGCAAATTTGCAAAAGTGCCTAGGTGTAAGGTTTTAACAACTGTTTCTTGACCTTGCTTTAACTATTGTAAATGACAGAGACTCAACAGCTGGAACATGTGTAGCCCTTTTCCCACATTTGCATTCCTACTCTGTGGGATTCCTCAGGATTCATTCTCCCTTTTGCTGGTGAGAAGAACGGTGTGAAATATCTCACGGTCTGTATCTCTACATGAGGTGGCTGTGTATGCTGTGACAGGGTGGAGATTCAGTGCCCCAAAACCTACACCTTAACCTGGTAAATGTTTGGAGGACTGAGTTGGGTCATTACATGAAGAAGAAGATCACCAGTTCCAGCCCCTAGTGGTTTATCTGTATGGAGTTTATTTACTCTATTTTAGCCCTTATTTACCTTTATTAAATTAATTTAAGTTACATTCACTGGTAATTATTTTGATGTAGAGCATGACCTAGTTTTCTTGGCCAGTCACAGTAACAAACAAACTCAAATCTTAGTTGAACCCTGTTCAGTTTGTTGACAAATAAACCATAGGCTATTTCCAAAGGTATGTTGACCTAACGGTGACTTTAAAGTGTTTCAGTTCACCTACATATACCAATCAAAAACAAACACAAACTTCTCACATGCTACTGGGCAAACATCTGGCTATATTTAGCCTGGGTTCAGTCAGCTGCCCATGGTGAGATCATATCACACAGAAACACTGTTTTCTACTCCCTTAAGAGTTATTAGAGAGAACAAATTGTCCGCCTGACGTACAATCAATAAAACTGAGGAAAAGGAAAAAAAACTTTCATTCAGCTTGTATTTGGTGCCGTTTACATCCTACATGGCACAGCAGTAATTTGGTGCTGTTTACATCCTACATGGCACAGCAGTAAGCAGACACCACCAGCCTACCAATCACCACTATCTCCCACCCACAAAATTCCCTGGTGGTGTTGACAAGGACTAAACGCTGTTGTGGGTGGAAGTTCCCCGGGATGTCTGTGTTGGCTGCTGTACCCGGAAAAATTACTTGTCGATGTGGTCAGTGTAACCACACCTATTCTCTGGGCCCACTTCGTCCACGAGCCTGAAAGAGCAAAGTTGTTAGCTTTACTTTTTTCCTTCATACTGTTAATGTCCATTAAAACAACTGTGTAGTAAAAGGGAATCCATGCCATGTCCATGAAATTGTATGAAAATGTAGCATGCCACAAAAAATAAACTCTAAATCTATGGTAGTAATCAAATTAAACTAACTTTGAATTTGTAACATCAAAATTAAACGATTTCCGATACAGTGTGTGTTATGACAAAATTATATTTGACTTTCACTGCCATTGATGGAGATGCTACCCATTATCTGTTCTCTGGTTCCTGTAAGACCTTGACAATTGCATGCTCATACTCCCTGTTTCTGAGTTTCTGTCAAGCCAGATAATCTCACAGGTGGCGATGGTTCTTAGGGCACGTGCTCCCACTCGTATTCTTGTACGCACACACAAATGTATCCAGCACACTATAAATGTAACTTGTAACTCGCTTGCAACATGCACTTTTATCTGCATATGTAATTCAAAGTGGCTACAGTGTGTAGGAAGGGGATTTAACTGTGGACAAAAGGACAGAAAACCACATGTTGCTAATTTTCTATCTAATAACGTTTTGCTGATTTCATGAGTTACACTTCCCCAAAACTAATGGATATATGGTCAAAAATGGAAGTAATTAATGAAATGAAATTACCTCTTTTACTGGCAGTGATGGTGGTTCCCAATTCTATGGATATATTTTTTTTTTATTATTATTATTAGCTCTTTATTTACACCAGAAACTGTTTGATCTACTGACACCGCCGTGTTTAATCAACATGCTTTTAAATAAGACAGCAGTAGACTGAACTGGCACAGCAAGGGGTCTGAAAAAAAACTACTGTGAATTATTTCTTTCTATGCATCAATAATGTCAAGATTGGATAATCAACGACACTATAGGGACACTTCACTTGTCCATGTTTAAAATTCAAACAGCAGCAAGTAAAGTAATTCAGCAGAAATACTTTCAAATACTTCATGGGTTTTTCATAGCACCACACCAGATTATGAATCCTCCTGTCTTTCAAAGAGTGTGGAATAGGCATTTCCACATTCGGAAAGTACAGCGTCATACAAAGGAAAACATTTGTGCGACATGTGCCTGAGCAGAAGGGTAGGCAGGAAAATCAGGCCATTTTACCGCTTTGTACATCGCCCTGAATGTGTCTGATGAATAGAAAGGCGGACAAAGCCAAGTGCCAATGGCATGGGGTAAACACTCAAGGAGTAAAATAACCAGCCTTATCAGTCATGCTTTTCAAATGGGTCACTGAGCAAAAATGTGCAATTATGTAACTACACTACACAAGAGGCCAAAGAGCAAAGTGGAAAACATCCATATTCACAAACAAAAGTATCTTCATGATGTCTTTTTCCACACCACGTATCTATACCTCACAGTGTTGTGCGGGTGCGGACAAATGTCAGGGGGGTTCGTGTGACATACGGAAACCAGAGGGAGTGAATGATATCTGCTTTGAAGGCAGTAGCTCTGTCTAAAAGACAGGATTCTAAGCAGAAGGTGGTATAGATTAAGATGCTGACGTTTTCATTGGGATTGACCAGGATGGACAGAAAGATGGAAGAACAGCTATGCGTCTGTTGAGCAGTGTGAATAGTGTTGCTTTCATATTGTACCAGTTTAAATGAAGATGAAGAAGTCATCAAAAAAGAATCAGGGATGTGGTAAGATGGCATGGAAGATGAAACTCCAAACAAAGGGAGCAGACAAAGAAGGAGACGATGATGATGATGACAATGAACACATGATAAAGCACTGTGGAAAAACAGTTGGTTTTTTATTTATTTAATTCAGATACTTTCTTTATTTGGAGCTCTATGTTTAAACTCCTGCAATGGAAAAGCTAAATGCCAAAATGCCTAGTGTGTCCACTTGATTAGGTACACTTGTCCACCCACAATCGTTGTCTGCTCGGACACTCGGAAAAGCAAGGGTTTTCAAATACAGAAAAACAAAAACAAACACTCACTCACTCACTGTGTTAACAATGTCGTCAACAACAATAGTAAAGACTATAAAGAAAATACACAAACGCCGGAGAGGAAACCACTTGACGGTTTAACGGCTGAAGTCCTTTAGCGTAACGGAAGAGTAGATTTGAAAGGTAAACAAGCGCAGAGAGGAAAACTTACCGTTGACTCCGAGGACCGCGGCAGCTGAGAAAAGTTGCAGCCAAATGAAAAGGCGCCTGTTGTCATTCATGGCTGAGCTTTTCTTCGGTGTTTTAATATCTGGACTTGTTTTGATGCGAGGAAGTTGGAGGTTGAAGGACAGCGAAGCTCTGGAGGGAGAAGTGGCGGAGGCTCGGGCTTGGTGTGCGGCTCTAAAGTCCCAGGCAGCAGGCATAGAGCAGGAGCACGTGGACCTGTGCTGTCAGCCAATAGCAACGGTGCTTTTAATTGTAGCTCCGCCCTTTGCTTCCCGCTGTTGTTGGAAAAAAGCCCACGCAGAGACGGCAATAAATTACCATAGAAACAAAAGCAGCGTTTTGCTAATGCGCTGCAATGAAATGAGAGTCTGGAAAAAAGACATATTGAGCAAAAAAAAAGAAGAAAAAAGAAACATAAAAAACTGTCACTTTGGACCTTAGACTGTTTATAAGAAAAGGTAAAGACCATCCAGTTATAAAAGCTATATTACTAAAAACAACTATCACCAGGGGACAAACTTTTGATTAAAGCAAAACAAGAACAGCACACAATCTGGTTGTTAAATTACCGTAGCTTAGTATGCGTTAAATGTGACCAACCTCTCCATCAATTGTTACTGGTAAATGACTTTTTTTGGAAAACACAATAGCTTTTAGTAAAACAATACAGATTATTGCTTATATAAATGGCTTATTAGGAAATATTTGTTTTATTACAATATATTGATTTAGTCTGTAGGGCCATTGTGGCTAGACTGTTGGTGAGTTATTATGGGAAAATTCCCATGCATAAAATTGACCTTTGAAATGCAGGTTAAAGGCCAGTGTTTTGTCAAAGAGAGCTGAAAAGTTCATCTGTGGGTGTTTAGATCCCACAGTGATCAGAGTTTGTGCTCTGGGTGTGGGTGTGAAGTGAATGATTTTATTTAATGGGTGTGACACTGAGTATTGTCCAACATTGTCAGAATATTTTGCATTTTTTTTATCTCAGTCGTTCTAAATTAATGTGATTAAAAAATCTATAGCCTGCAAGTATAGAATAAATATAAATATTGTATACTGACTATTACATGTATGATATTTGACCCAGAACACACCAACAGTAATAGCTCCCACCACCTTTGATTGGTATGGCTAAATGCAAGCTTCAGTTTCCTAGTAACGAGCCAAAAAGCCAATGATGTAAATGCAGCTACAAACGATTACATGCTCTCTGATAATCTGCAAAACAGAGGAGAAAGGCATGGGCTGTTCTAATCCCATCTTCACGCTTGGCTCATCACTCTCTTCTTCTGCACCTTTTGGTGTGCATATATACTGTATATATATATAACATATATATGTGTGTGTGTGTATTAACTACCAACTTAATTTACTTACTCTCAACAATTTGACATACAGTACAGAGGAGGTCGGAGGCAGAGAATAAATTCAGTTGAACTTTATACATATTCCCAACTTTATCTCCCTCTTGTTATGATAATTCAGAGGACTTTGTAACAAAAGTACATTTGCGTCTATGGTGAAGGAAAATTATCTACTTTGACAGTGTGTCAAATGTTCTGCATTCACATTAAACTATGTGATCAGACCAAATATCTTCATGCAATCTATGAAATTCAGTAGGTAAGTAAACTTAATTTATATTGCACTTATAACAGGTAAAGACTACAGAGTGCTTCACCACTGTTAAAATGGTGTAAGAAAACATATAGTGTGAACATGTTCCAAATTTCTCACGAAACAAAACAGCCCTGAGAAAAGTTCATGTGACCATACGTTTCCCCTTAAATAGCAAAAACAAACAAAACAAAACAAAACCACACACTATAAAATTCAATGATGCTAAGGAGATTCTTTTTTTTACAGAAATGAAACCAAAAGATCAGACATTCATGTGCAGGAGTGTTGGCTGCGGTAAAGAAGTTAAATGTTGGGATTCTCCACCTCTGCAGAATCCCAAGGTTATCATGGCCTTAAACACAGCGTTGTCTTGTGACTGATTTTAACTAAGTTTGACCTAAACTGTCTCAATGTTTGCAAGAGGATTAAACTTCAAGGAGACAGTTGCTAACTCACACCTTGTGAACATGTGCTACACTCCCAGGAGAACACTGTGCACCAAAGTTGTCAACAATTCAGTGAATGTTCCCTGGTTTCTCAGAGACAAATGACGCAGCCCTCTTCCACCTCCGCCTGTCATCTGGAAACTAATATAAGATGTTGTACAGATAAACAAGATCACATATATAGAAATAAAGATGTTTGATGACAGAATTGTGTCTTGTGGTTTGGTTTCCAAGGATGTGAAACAGCCACAGTTGAAGTAAAAACACAGTGCTTTGCAGCTGTTTTTGCTCATGGTTCAACAGGACTGTGCCACGTGTCTCTTTGAGAGCAGGAAATAAAGTACCCACAGTAATTATGGAAGAATACCACTGTATGTAAAATAAAATGACTTAAAGCAAGCAGGTAATGTAATGAAAAGTAATGAAATATTTGTGTATTACTTCAGTTCAACAATGTTAAATGTGTGAGAATAACATTAACAAATCCTTGAGAAAAAAAACCCCAAAAGTAATTACAACCCCTCTGACATGTAATCACTTAATGTCAATAGCTGGCCTAGTAAAGTAGAAACTGTAGATGTTTTTTCACCAGAAAATAATCACATGTATCTGTGATATTTATAATTTTTTAAATTTAATATTTGTTGCATTTATAGTGTAGAATCCTAACTTAATAAAACCCATATAATGTAATTTTATAAAATTGTACAATTGTTCATAAACATTAAAATAACCAATAGGTTTGAATGACACTTTCATTGAACGTAAGAGCACCTGATTCAATGTTTTTTAGTGATTTGCGCCCCCTTGTGGTAAAAAGTACTAGACAATAGGAGGTATACTTTGACTGAAACGTTCAAATTAAACTAATGGGCTGTCAATTCCTTATTTTTGTTTTCACGTGAACAAACATGCATGTATATTGTTTAAATTAATATAATATATATATTTCTATAATCGTGCTGTCATATTATAACTTGTAATGACTATGGCAAGGAATAGACACCAAAATATGGCGTGTCCATGCATAACGCCACCTTATAAGCGTAATTACATATTACTGGGAATTTTTTCCGAGGACCATATAAAAAAACTAAATAATGCCTTCTAATAACGAATTACGGTAACTTACCTACAAAGTGTAATTTTATGGTACTCAACTGACCCCTCACAAAACGGGCCCACATCTCACAATACGGGCCTACGTACGCTTGTGACCACATGTAAATGACAGCGCTATAAACAAACGTCATTATGTTAAACTGTTGCTTTCCGAGAAGTAGGAAGTAGCTTCTCCGCTGGTTTGTCATGTCACCTTCACGGACTGTCGGGCATATTATAGCTAGCGAATGTGTTAGGGAAAGCCGTAGTCGGGTAAGTTGAATTTAACTTCAATTTATCATTACATAACCAATTACCTTCAGCTGGTAATGACTAAAACGAGGAAATATATTCAACAAAATTCCACTCTAAGTGAAGCCAATTAATGTTATTGTTATTTGGCTGGCTAAAAGAAAATGTATCTCCGGACGTCCGAGCTTTTAAAAGCTCATGAACGCCCCGAGCGTTTTGTGGTCCGTCAGAACCTGTAGGCTGCGAGTTGGTGCAGAAGTCTCTGTGGACTCGACCAAAACACGAAAAGACAGATATAAACGCCATGGTAGGACTTTCGACTTTTCAGCTCATAACTTACTCGTGTTACGTTTTAGTCTAAATTTTATTCTCTGAAGTTCGGATTCACTTCGGCGTATAACAGGAACAGTTTCTACCTGAGTCACAAAACAAGAAAGGGGAACAGGAAACTCAAAGTCTCAACAAAACTAACCAAATTAAATTAAAAAGTTTGCTCTTTGCTTTGTTTTGTGTTATTACAATTACATTTTCGTGTGTTTCATCTTTTAAGGTTTCGCCAAAGTCAAGGGGTCCAGCTGATAGTGACATTCTTTTATTAAGGCGTTTTTGTTGTTGTTATCTCAGGAAGTTGAAACATGTCCCTTAACTTTTCCTTCTTTATTTTTTTTCCAGCTGCGAGTAAACATTATAATCTAGGTTAAAAGGGAGACGACCACTGAAACCACTGATCTATCCTCGAAGTCAGATAAAAAGGTGGGTATAAATAATCGCAACTACACACGAGGCTGCGGTCTACTACAATATCCCGCATTGCGATAAGAAACACAGATAAAATACGTTTTCAATGTAACAGCAAAGAGGAAACGTATTTACCCTTTTAAATAAGTAAACTTAAATAAGTAAACTGATAAAGTTATCAACATGCTAACAGGGATTTAACCCTAACCCTTGGTACTGAGTTTTTATGACAGTTGCCACTCCCTTTCTTATAGGACATTAAAGAGTTTTATCTCTGTCTCATTTGATGTAAAGTTAAGTATGGAGTGTGTCATTTGTCACTATGTTGTTATTAGCATACCTCAAGACTTGTTTGCCTCTGCGAGTCTCTAGGAAATTCTTTGGAGTAACTTTTTGGAAAAACCTTGTATTTCCTTTTCACTCCACTAAATTATTTGAAGTATTTTTTGAAACTGTAGCCTTTAATTAAGTTCAGCATAACTGTGCTAACAGGTTATATATAAGGTAATATTTATGTAAGTTCTTAATTTCAACATACATTGTCACACACTTCAGGCATTCTCCCTCATCAAGATGACGACCATGGAGGGCAGTAACATGCAGACTCTTAGCTCGGAGATGCCGGCCATGGTTGACGGCGTAAAACTGGCAGCGGTGGCCACTGTCCTGTACATTATCGTTCGCTGTCTGAACCTGAAGAGTCCCACAGCTCCACCAGAAGTGGTCTACCAGGACACACCCCTCAGTCATTACCTGTTCAAATCCTGCCCAATGCTGACCAAAGAGTAAGTTGCTTTGCTTTTTTGTGATTTGACCTGAAACTGTGATGACCAAGGCTGAACTAGTACAAGTAATTAAACCAGAAATGTGTGTGTACTCAGAGAGGTCTTATCATACAAACTACATTTTATTTTGAGGCTGTTGTGATTGCTACTTCCTACAAACTCGAAACACTTGAAGCACTTCCTATCTCAATAATTTATTTATATAATAGAAACCAAGCTACAACCTGAGTTTGTCAACCAAGTTAGTAACTTGACCTTTAAATGCCCCCTGCAGCGACAGCTTTGAAACTAGCGCTATAGGTTCTTCTGGTATGGTTGAAATAGTTGGGATATTTCTTGGTAGTAGCTCACTATTAGTAGGAAATACTATGAACCTTTTTTTTATTAAACATTTAAAAAAAAAGAATGAATAATACTAAGGGTGACCTGTAAAATGCAAAAAGCTGATGTACAGCAATAAATAATGGTTTCATCTGCATAAAAATAATACATGGAAATTGATTTTCCCATCAGCTGAGGCTTGGAAATGTTCTTATATCCATTAGATAAGTTAGCAGTGGCACTAGCAGTGGTGCTTTGCACAAAAATAGTTGACATGGTGAAATACTTTCACAGAATTGACCTGACTGAATATATGAGTCATCAGAGCAGTAAAACAGGAACTTGAGCCAGTTTCTCAAATGTAGACTTGGGGGCTAGACATAAACTCGACATGACATTAATAAGTCAAAATGATTCAGATGTAATTTTAGATCACTGGACCAGGATTCATTCCAAACTTTGAGAATATGTGTTTCATTGGATTTGATTTCACATGTAGCAGTGGAAGCAACCAATAGTACAGACCACTGTCAGCTTCAGAGTCAACACTGTTTACTTGGTTGTGTTGTTTTCCGCCCCACTTAAATTTTTGATCATTAGTCAATTATGTCATTAGTCAGGCCACCAAAAATAACTTGTTACAAGGTACTTTTCTCCACATGATCCCTTGTTTTTTGTTTAAATATTTTTAGCTAAATATTTTTTGTTTGGGGTGAAACATTTTATCCCACTGCCTATGGTATTGTATTTAAACACTAAATGTTTAAATGCAGTCTTGGTCAAAGGAACCAACATTTAAATGTTAAAACTGTATGTTGCTTATACTAAACTGAAACACAGGGAACTATGCTCTTTCATTTGATATTAGACATATCACCTTCTTATCAAAACCACAGACAGTACAGTGTGTCATTTGGTAAGTTTGTGTTAGTAATGGCTTGAGAAGCCTTGAACCTCAAGGCCCAAACATGTCTACTAATCTCACTCCTTTACTTAACACTGCTAAATAAAAAAAATAAAAATCTTCCAGGACAGGGTACAAAACCTGTACGTTTGGCCGTGTCAGCAGTTTAAATAAGCGACAGAGAGTGAGGACTCATCTGCCGTCACCTGTGTGTGTGTGTGTGTGCTGCTGATCATTACCCAGACTGTGCTGACACATCTTCAGGTCACGTTTACAGCTGCTGTGTTATATAATATGGAACTTGTCCTCTTCAGATACATTCCTCCGTTGCTGTGGGGGAAGAGTGGTCATCTCCAGACGGCCCTGTATGGAAAAATGGGGCGTGTCAACACACCCACACCCAGTGGCATTCGCAAATTCCTCCCCATGCTTGATGGAGCAACAGCGACCTTTGACCTCTTTGAAGCTCTTCAAGATCACAGCACAGGAGGTCAGTAAACACTTACATGAATGCCGACTTCTTAGGTGTGATTTATTATATCTTATTTAACAACAAGTTATATTATCTATAAAAGATATGAAGGCAGCAGACCTGAGACAGTTGTAAATCAAAGCACAGCAGTGCAGGGCCATCATGTAGTTGAACTACTGAGACCGTTGATAACACTGTGAGTCCTATGAATATTTGTAATCAATCTCAAACCTCCATGAAAAACACAGGACCTAGAATGTCAATCGATCGTCTTTTTAGGACATTCAACGTGAGTAATGTTTAAATCTACTCCATTCACACCCTATGATTTCTTCCATGTCTTTTCAGATGACATTACCATGGTAATTTGCCCCGGGATCGGTAACCATAGTGAGAAGAGATACATTCGGACCTTTGTGGATTACTCCCAGCGGCAGGGTTACCGCTGTGCCGTTCTTAACCACCTGGGAGCCCTGCCCAACATTGAGCTCACGTCTCCACGCATGTTTACCTATGGTAGGAGGAAAGCACCAACGATAACATCAGAATTATTGTAAGGTCTGAGGGTAAAGGCTGTCAGCAGTTTGTTTCTTTAAATGATAGATGGATTCAGTAGATGCACTTTATTGATCCCAAAAATGATGAGTTCATAAACCATAAGCTAATAAAGTACAAATTATATTTATACTAAAACGAATGGCAACATTGATATCACAGGCTATAATAATAATAACAATATTAATAGAATGATCCAATATGAAACAGAATCTATGTACACACTCGTTGTTAAGTTGTTCAGTTACAGTCAGTGTTATGTCACTTAGGTTGTACCTGGGAGTATGGAGCCATGGTGAGTTACGTCAAACGAGCCTTCCCTGAAACTAAGCTGGTTGTGGTGGGCTTCAGCCTGGGGGGCAACATTGCCTGTAAATTTTTGGGAGAGAATCCGTCGAACCAGGAGCGAGTGTTGTGCTGCATCAGCGTCTGCCAGGGCTACAATGCTCTCAGGTAGGAAGACAGTCCACCTGGATTCTGACAGGATATAAATAAAAAGATCAGGATGATTCCAGTTCTAACATCAATACATTCCACACCTCAGACACGATATAAATAAAAAGATCAAGATGATTCCAGTTCTAACATCAATACATTCATGTTCAGGGTTCAGGAAACGTTCTTTCAGTGGGACCAGTGTCGGAGGATTTACAACTTTCTGTTGGCAGACAACATGAAGAAGATCATCCTGTCACACAGGTGAAACATCAGTGCTTCTTTAAAAAACTGAAGTTGTACTTTGTGCGTTCACCACCCAGCCTTATTGTTGTAAATACACCTCTTGTTGAAAACAGAAACAGTTTGCTGAGCCTGAGCTCGGGCAACATCGGTGATGCAGACATGAGCAGACTGTGTGCCGCCACTTCTCTGATGCAGATTGATGACAGTATTATGAGGTGAATCAAATTAATTTGATTATGATCATTTAATAACCTATTGGCCTTTCAATTATTATTATTATACATGCATAAAAACAATTTTATGTACAAAAAGGATGCCTTATAAACACATCTTTGTGCATTTTCCACGTTATTTTTTCACTGCAGAAAATTCCACGGCTACACCACTTTAAAGGACTACTATGAGATGGAGAGCTGTATGCTCCACCTTCACAAAGTGGGTGAAACAGAAAACGTTTATATCTGCATGTATTTCATGTATAAAGGTGAAGTTCAGAACAGCTTCTGACATTTACTACAGTATATTTATTTCTGCTGCAGCTTTGATATTTACTGCTAATATAACCCATGAATCAGTGTGTTGTCTTTGTATTTTACTTATATTTAGAAAATCTGTTTGCCCAGCACAGTGATGCCAAAAATGTTTTTACAATGTAATGTAATGTTCTCTCTGCTTCTATTGGATTTATATATTATGTTGAGAAACTAAGTTCAGTGACGTTGTTATGAAGAAGCTGCTGTTCTGGTTTTTCAGGTATCTGTGCCTCTGCTGCTGCTGAACTCCATGGACGACCCCCTGGTCCATCAGTCACTGCTGGCTATTCCACGTGCACTCACAGGTTTGTGGCCAAATTGATCGATAGGTTTTCCTTAAAAGCATTCAGGAGCTGCTGTTTGGTTGGCAGAGTGGAATTGTTTCCTAACTCGATTATGTGAGCATCAAGTCAGACGTCACATGTCATTAATTTACAAATACATTTTCCTCTAATTTAAAAATGGACCTAAGTCTTAGCATAACTCTCCACAGCACAAACCGTTTAGGTACAGAACACCCTGTTCAATCCAGTTTTTGTTTTAAATATTTTTCTTGTTTTTTTATGATAAACAAATCCAATAGTATCTTCATGGTCACTGTACTGTGGGCTTTGTACTAAATACACTCGGTGACTCTGTTGTTGTCAAAGACTCGTTAGAGTTGTCGCCTCGACACGGTCCAGCCCAGACACTCTTGTTAAATTTTTCAGGGCCATGTGATCCGCCTGGGCTGCAGGATTACTATATAAAGGGAGTGAGCTCTGTGTGTGTGTGTGTGCTCATGTGAGAGTGTGTTTGTGTGTCGGGGGTGTGTGTTGTCTTGCTACTAAAGGTCATGTGCTCTGGCCCCAGTTTCTGTTAATTTGGGAAGTTAACTGAATATTCATTCTCTACATTCTACACATTATAATCAACAAAAAAAACAGATCAAGATACGTTTTAATATCACTGTAAAAGTGATTTTATGCATTGTATGCAACTGTAATGAGTTCGTGATTTAATGAATTACTTGTTCTGTATTCAACACACTGCAGAAATGACATTCATCAATAATCTATTCACTGTAGGACATAATACAACAGGGACCTACATGGAGCAAATAGCTGAGCATCCATTAACACTGTGTAACTGCTGTATTTTTACTGAAGAACAGTAAGAGTAAGAGTAAACAACTCTTCTGTTTCCTTTTATCACGTTGATGTGACGTGAAGCAGTGTTGGTTGGAGAAAGTGTGTAGAGGGTGTAGGATACCAGAAAAGGAAAAGTAAGATGCCCAAAGTTTGGGCAGAAAACCAAACATCTTAACCTCACAGTCAGTCCTCCCCAGTCAGTCACTGAGCCATGTTAATTATTCACCTTCACAACAACTAGATTTAATTACCAAACGACTCCAGGGAGAAAAAAACACGTGTAACAATCAAGTAACCGTTCATATCGTTCTCCAAACTACAACCTGTCTCAGAAGTTGAATAAAATTAATTCTACTTGAAACAAATTTGTACTTTTTAGTTCACTTAATATGATGTCTCCCCCCTCCAGAAAAGATGCCCAATGTTATGTTTGCCCTCACCCAACATGGAGGTCACCTGGGCTTCTTCGAGGGAGCGATGTTGTTTCCTCAACCTCTCACCTGGATGGACAAGATCATCGTGGAGTACACTGACGCCATCTGCCAGTGGGAGAAGAACAAGCCTGTGTGTCAGAGGAGCAGCCACCAGGACGTGGACTCCTGCCCACAGTGTACGAGGGAGACCCTCAGTGGGTAGAACTAACTGAACAACTAATGACCAAAACAATCAACCCATGTTGGTACTGACGGCCCTACAGCTGGGTGAGTCATTCTACGACAAAATGAACAAAGTAAAGTATGACATGAATTAGATGAGATCTAATAAACGAAGTCAAGTTAAATGGTCCAAATGAAATAGCTGATTTACCAGTTTGGCAGGAAGGTACTCTGTTTAAATCTACGAAGAAACTTATTGTTTAACTAAGAATATTTATTTAAAAAAATGGAGAGGTTGGTATGAGAACAAAGACTTGGAAGAACAAAGCTCAGATACAAAACAAAAAAAACACAAAGTGTAACAGCTGCTTCTGATTGTCACGTCTGGTCCATATGAAGACAGTAATGTCACATTAGAAAAACAGATGATGAGCAGAGCCTGATGAAATATGGGTCATTATAGTTAACATTGAAAGTGGACATTTTCACCCGCATTTGTTTCAGGATGTTTAGGCCACATTTCCTTGGTTACATGTGGGCGACTTGTGCTGCTGTGTGGGCCAGATACAAGCTGGCAATGCTGCGTCATTGTCAATAGTGGACCACGTCATAAACCATCGGCAGAAGTTTGATTAACAAAAAAGGTAGTTAAAACAACCTCTAGCACTCCTTTAGTAAAACCTGAATGTAAAGAGTCTTCCTGCTGCACTGTTCCTTCCTCCTCCCTATACTTTACTTTTTGCTGACCCTGAATCCCAGTGTCAGGGTGATGCACTGTAATGATGGAATTCCCACTAAATCAAAACTTGCACAGAAACTAAAATGTAGCATTTACACATGCAGTCATTTAAAAAAGATAAATAAATATCTTAAACGCTAAAGCCTTAAACTCATTGAAACAATAAACAAAATGATCTGCAATGATTTAAGTACAGCTCGTGTGTGACGAAAATGATGTTGAATTTTGGTTGGTTAAGTTGCAGCCAGACGTAAGTGCCTTGATGTAAATATAGATATGTTAATAATTCAGCTGTGTTAATGTTTTTTTTCTTGATCTCAGGTCCAGTAACATCTCTACTGTCTTAACTGTCTTTCTATAATTAACCTTTAACTTTTTCCAATGATTGTAGGGGAAATGAGTGGTTTGCTTTGTGTAAATGGGTTCTCTTTGCATTCCTAGTGTTTACTGGACCATGCACCTGTGTTCTTGCTACTGACTTTAACTGAAATAAAGATATTGTCACTTTTTAACAGTGGAGCTCTGCTTACATGAATAAAGGCCTTTAGAAAACAGCACGTTTCCTTCTCAGAAAAATCTTCTGCTCAGTCTCACAAATCTGTGGCTGCAGTTAAATTTCCATGCTGACAAAGTCAGACATGATAGAAATATTTTGTTCTGCCGAGTCATTGTTTTTGTCAATTTTTGTTTCTTCCAAAAGAGAAACAGCGCCCCCTATTGGTCTGTCTGTATTTAACTCTGCTCAGCACTACTGCTCAGCCTGTACTGTACCTTGAAGACTCAGAGTCTTGACTTGAAGAGATGGACTGTTGTTGCCTGCACTTTACCGTCATTTATACAGTCACAAAATCCTTTGTACATGCTGTGGTTCGCAGACATGAATAAATGTTTTACATCTTTCATTTCAAGGAGTGTGTTCCTTCTTTCCCATCGGTGAATTAGTACAAAAAGCAAACAGGTCTTGTTTTTTTTAATGTATATACAGTTTATTGTACATTTATTAACATCGTTTATTCAGATTCATGACAAGGAAGTTTTCCAGAGACATCAGCCGTGATAAGGAACATTTACAACTGTGTTCTCTACAACCACAGGAGTGGGTGAGGGTGGGAGGGGCTCAGCAGTATAGTAATGGAGATAAATATGATGATAATGGAACAGCTTTAGTCGAACAGCTTGGCTGCCACAGCCTTGCCGTCGTACTTGGCACCTTTTCCGTCAAACTCAGCTGGAAGGATGTCGGCATCAAACTCCTTGTAGTAGTTTTCCAGTTCGTCTCCATGAACAAAAACCTGGTGAAAGAGGAAAGAGTTCAGCAGTGATGTCACATATAGTTTACAAAGTACATCTTAGAATTGATCTTTAAAAATATATATATATTTATAGTTAATTTTATAGTTAAAATCCGAGTCTAAACTCACTCTCTCCAGCAGCTTGCTCTTCATGAGAGGTTTGACTACGTTGTATGTGGTGGTGAAGTACCAGGGCTGATGGATGAAGTGAACCGCTTTGAAACGGGCAGGAAATGAGTCCTGGGAATAAAAGGTTTTATTGAGTTTAAACTTTTTTTATATTCAGCTCAGACAAATTCAGTAAAGTGTGAAACATTTCAAAATGGTTGAAAATATTTCATTCATAAGATGTAATCATTCTAAATCAATCTGACACCTCAGGCAACAAATCTACACATTTATGTGACAAAAATGAAAGGTTGGGCTCTGCTCACGACCAAAACTCAATTTTACTGAGAGCTGGAAAATTTAAGTTTTAATTGAAAAAATCTAAATATGGTCAAAGCCATTTTTGGGTCTATTTTAGGAACTGTACAGAGATGTTAAGTTTTAAATGAAAAAATCTAAATAGGGTCAAAGCCATTTTGGGTCTATTTTAGGAACTGTACAGCCACCAAGAGGGACATGGTTATTGGACCCCGTAGGGACAGCATTACTTCATCCTGTTTATTTATTGCAGTATGGACAGCATTACTTCATCCAGAGTCATTTACCCCACAGTGGCCAACTGTTTGTACCAACCAAATGATTCTGGGCATGTTTTCCCACCTGCAACATGTCCACCATCTTTTTCAGCTCAGTGGGTTTGATTCCTGATGCCTGCTGCATGGTGAAGCCCTTGAAGTTCTCAATGATGCAGAACCCGTTGATCTGAGTCTCTTCGTTCTCCAGCAGCTTCTCCAGGATCACACAGTAGGCACGCAGGATCTGAACTCACACGTCGACATTGGTCACCTTCAATGGAACCTATTATATATTTACCATTATTATTATTGTCAAAACGTAGACCCTGGTACCTCGTCAAATGTGATCTCCTCGTAGTCCCAGTTCTCGATGTTGAAGAGCAGAACCACGCGACCATACTTGTCTCTGCTCTGCAGAATTCCAGGGTAACCGGCCTCGATGGTGCTGCGTACGGCCTCCGAAGTCAGATTCTCAAACAGCTCAGGGTAATCCTTCCTGAAACGCACGTAACCTACCAACAAACAAGACAAACATATCAAGACATTTGTCAAGAACGGCCTTTTTTTTGTTCTGAATTAAATTAGCAGATACAATCTTCTTCTTTGCTGATGTTTTGCTTTATGTTTAGCCTTTAGCTATTACTCATATCTGTACATTTTTCTGCCCTATTCCCTTAAGCTAGCTTCATTATGTTGTCACAGAATTTCAGTTTATTACATAACTACAAGTTTTTTTACCTTTTACCTCTTTTGTCTATATGTTTAAATATTTTTGACTTATTTTTATATTATGGAATATAGTTTAGCTAATCTAGCTTCCCCTGTTTCATTTATCTTTGGCTATCACTTCCTAGCCTTTAGCTAGCATAAAGTTACTTGTGGGTAATTGTGACTAATTTGGCTTTGGTATTTTGTTTAGGGAGGCAGTCACATGTAAAATGAGGAGAAAAAGAAACTCCTGACTCACCCTTCATGAGCTCAAAGGCTCGAGGAACATCGTACTTCCTGGCACGGATAAAACGGGTCAGTAAACTGTCTGGTTTCTCCCCAAATGTGTCCTGCACCCCTTTAGCTATATCATCTCCTGATTCTGCTTTTTCCTTGATCATTTCTCTCAGCTCCTTTGCTGCAGACACTTTCAACTCATCCGTCTCGTGCAGTTCATCCTTGGCCTGCAGGGGACACCAGACCACTCAGATGGTTGTTGTTTATTTGCTGTATTATTTAATGCTTGGTTGATGTTCTCTAACCTTCTGCTTGGTGTGGTCTGGCAGACTGGAGCAAGGCCCAAACACTGGCCCGTGGTCCTTGACCGTGAGGCGTTCCAGCTTGGCTCTGAGAGCCTGCTCTTCCTCTGACACCATACGGTAAGTCCCACTCTGAAGACAGAGAAAAGAGACGAGATTATTGTGAGTTATTTCTACACCTCTGTCCTACAAATATCAGCTAATGTACAAGTGTCAAACATCATAACCCATTGGCTCCTAACCTTTTTTTGGCTGGTGACCTCACAAACTGATTTCACAAACTTCTTGTCAACATCAGTCATGCTGCCCCCGCTCAGATATTATTATATGTTACATTTAGTTTGCATTTAACTCAATGTATAAGTGAAAAAATACTGCCGTGTGTTGACTGCGTGTGGTGTTTATTGTAATCATAATTTTGAAAAAAAAACAAATAAGTTGAAAAAGTGACTTCACATGGCGTCCCAACCCCAAGGTTGAAAAACACTGCCATAATCCCTCAGAACTGAGTCAACTCTGATCATGTTTTTAAAACTTCATAGCGAGCAGTCATATTAAAAATGATGACTAAGTACGGGGACTGGATTTATTAGAGCAGGTTTTCAGAAGAGAAATCTTCTACCTTATTGATCCTAAAATCGTTTTTCAATCTTCTACCTTATTGATCCTAAAATCTAAAGCCTGATCGACCCACCGCAGTTCTCTCACAAGACCTTGTTGTGATGGTGAAGTTTTAAACATGTCTAATCCACGTGAGGCAGCATACATGTTCCCCCGTGAGGCAGGAACACAATGAATAGACCTCAGTGTTTGGTTAATCTCCCTCACATGAGTTCAGTAAAGCCTGTAAATACACAAGGAACACCGGTGGGACTGGAGCCGGGATCAGAGATTAGCAGCTAAGGCAACTGCAGCTGTTGGCTGCGTCTGAAACAATGGGCTTAGGTCTTGTGTAATGTTGAGCCCAAGCTGGAACCACGTTAAAGAACCATGAAAATCCAGGAGAACTCTTGTGACGCTTAGATCAGCTAATCAGCATTCTTTCTTTCTTTACATCCAATTAGATTCAGGAATATTTGGATATTTTTTCCCAACATTGCATTTATAAAGATGTTGCCTTCATACACAAATTCACAAGTAAGACACAAATACATATTTACCGTATTTGCTGGACTATAAGTCACACCTTTTTTCATTCTTTTGTTGAGTTTGCCACTTATATATTAAAATATATAATTTCACGTTTTGGTATGTTCACACTGACAGCCGCTAGAGGGCACTTTAGGCTTGTGTGCCAGTATCTGCTACTCCTGTACCACTGAAAATTTAAAATTTAAATTTTCACAATGACAGCCGCTAGAGGGCACTGATGCGACTTATGTGGGAGGGGGTTTTCTTCTTCATTATGCATTTTTGGTGCGCCCGCTTCTCCAGAGCAAGTTATAGTTCGGAAAATACGATATATTTTAATGAGAAAAAATGTCATTGTACTTACAACCACAGCCATGTTCTCTGCTCCTAATATCAGTGGTACACTGTGTGAAAGACAAAAAAAAAAAAACATCTTTGACTGACATGCAGTAACTGTTTGAAGAATCATTGTAGTCCACATTAATCCTCCATCATCCCAATCTCCCCCGCTCATCACCTCATACTTCTATGCTATTTATAGAAGACAATCTCTGCTGGCTGATTGATCAGGAGGGTTTAGCTCCACAGGATGTTTTACTGCCAACATTTAAATTCAACAGTCTTTGCATTTCACTCTGGTATATAAAATAAATTTCACCTAAATTCAGTTTTTACTATATTTTTGTTCGGGGGAAAAAAATCACATATTTACACATTTCATCTTAAACTATTTCCATTTCTATCTCTATCAAACCAAACAAAGGCCAATGTCTTAACATTACGTTTCAAAAGTTTTTTTTGTGTACACCACTAAATTAGAAAGATAACACAAAGCTAACATTTGACAGAAAAACAAATGAAAACTGATTTTTCTTTATCAGTCATAAAACTCATTACCCATGTCTGAGTAATTAATTAGATTATACTTGAATCAACAGTCTTTTTCACCATCTAAAGGAACTCTCCCACAGGAATTTCCAAAACAGATTAACTGCATTTTAAAAATGAATCCAACTAAACATAATCTAACCTCAGTATATGATTTCATAATATAATATAGCCATAAATGAGATTAAATCAATAAAAACAACACCAGGTCTTACCTGAGGCAGATGTGAAGGTCCTGGCAGGAAGTTGCAGGGTCTGTGCAGAGCGGAGCAGAGAAGGTCTGGGATTTGTAGTAGTGGGATTAGTGATGTCACACCAGATTACACTCAGCAAATTTCTCTTTTTCCATCAATCAGCACAAAGTGCCAGAGAGTGTGGCTGAGGAGGGGAGGGGGGAAGGGGGTGTTATGGTGGTTTCTGACCAATGATAAAGGTTCCCCCATGAGGACAGAGCAGGAAGTGTCAGGCACATTCACAGTGAGGTAATGTTGGCTCTACACTCGAGGTAACAGAAGGTTTTTAGTATTTAAGTGTTAAAGGGATTTGAACACATTCTTGCTGGAGTGAAAAGCGACCATTGTGACTGTTCTGCAATTTCTGCCACGTGAAAACGCAGGCTCTATTACTCAGATGGACTTTTGACGTTGAAAACGTACTTAACACCAGACATACGGCAGGTGTTTAAGGCACCAAATGACATTATCTGACAGCAAAGAAGTTTTTGTTAGATATTTGATCACACTCTCATGTACAGGTACAAGGTCAGGAAGGTCAAAGACAGAGGGCGATCACCTTCATGAAAAATAGTTCAGAGTCAACGTTACATCGTGGTTGGATTTTACAAGATCATTCCAGAAGACCCTTAGAAAATTAGCAAAAAAGCAGCATTTCTTTTCTTGAGTGCATGATTTATTATCTTCTCTGACCACGGGTCCACCGTCATAACCCTCACACACGTTTTCTTCCTGGTGCAACGTTGAATGAGCAGCAGCCCTGAGAGTAATCTGCTAAATCAGCTAAACCTGAGCTGCTCAAGAGAGCCAGTTTGACAAACTAAATTATAATAATATGGATTGTGGACCAAACAATGCTCGTCTGTGTTCTCGCCCTCCCTCTCTCTGACTCCACCGTAGCTTTAAGTCCAGCCTTTACATGTGCTCGAGTCTGGTCAAGTACAAATGTAAAGGTACAGGTCGATAAAAGACTGATGGAAGTTTGATTTTTCACAGCTTTTCAACATGACACATTCTCTGGACATGAACTCTGTAGCAACATTAAACCGTTGTCCATCTAGTGATAAACATCATATCTTACATTTGCAAATTCTGCTTCAGAACACGGCCCAGCATTTCCCCTTTCCTCACATACCTTCCTACTTAGTGACAAAGCTTCTCCACAACCTCAGCAGCTACTTTACATGTTTTTCTTAAGCTGCACAGCTCAAAGCAAATGAACCACTCTTCATTCAAACAAGTGGATTTGCAATCAAAGTTTTAAAGCAGACCACTTTTTGAATGAGAGATTTGAAGGTAACCAACTGTAAGACTTGACTTTTACATGTAGATGAATGAAAACAAACTGTTTCCCAGATTTTGGCTGTTTTATTTTTTACTTGCAGCAGCCATTTCCAACATATGATATACATTGTTCACAATGATCTGTTGGAGAAAAAGATTCCAAACACCTTTCACACCAAATCAAGTCTTTAACAACTCGATATGAGGTATATGAGCAAAATGTTAAAAACATTGTTTTTCACATTTTTAAATAAGTTAACACATTTTCATCTCAAACATGTTAAAATGACTAAAGAATTTTTTTTTTTTTAAAAACACATGGTTCGTGTAGTGCTCCTCTGCTCACTGTAACGACTGAGGTATTTCCCAGCAGCCACTGCTTTAGCCATGGCACACTGGCTGTTGATTTCTATGTTGTGACATCACTGGGCCAGTACTCGTCCTGCATGTAGTGGTTGGAAGAGGCAAAGCTGGGCTCCTGAGGAGCGTCATCATTCCTCAGCTTGTTCTGCAGCTCCTGCTCCCACTCTCCCTCCACCAGCTTGTAGAGGTCGAGTGCGGCCTGAGCGTCTTCCACCGAGCAGTGACCTCTCTTCCCAACCTGGACAAAGTAACAGTCAAGAGTCAGTCTGTCATTCTAGTGAAAAAAAAATAAGATAATGAGTAACAGAACTACATTACACATTTAGATAATGAGTAACAGAACTACATTACAACATTCTTTTGCACTGCAAAGAATATTGTTCTCAGATAGACAATATTGCCATCTGGTGGCCAAACAACACTCAAATACTAAAATTACACAACGCAGCCATCAATAGTGACATAACATTAGTTAATATTAAGCTACTATTTCTGAAAAAAATTAGCCAGTAGTTATAAGCTTTAACATCGTTATTTTTATAATTGAATTTCATATCTAAGAGTAAAACCAATGTGATAATTAACAAATTTTAGTCATAACTTGAGACATTTACGTCAAACAAATACAGAACTGGACAAAAAACATATATAGTTGACTCACTTGTATCCTCCTGTCAAGCAGCTTTTGAGCTAAAATCTTTAGCGAAGCGCATCGTTCTCGTGGAAAACCAGCCAACCGGCTGAGAAGACGTGTTGTACTCGTGTCCCTGACCATGTGACATGGATGCTGTATGTCCAGCGCCTCAAAGTCGTGGTACACAGAGTGGCCCACAATCACTCTGCCTTCAAGTATACTGATGACCTGTAGGAGAGAAGCCAGAAAAACTAAAAATAGAGATTTTTGTCCAAGCTAATTTTACTGAATGACAATGTGGTGATGAAACAGTCACAAATGTTTTACTTTCTAATAAAGATATTTTAGTACAATGTGCTCCATCTGACACAGTGCTAGATATTCAACACAGCTAGTTAAATTCTGGGCCAAGTGACAGTGTAACCATTACCAATGTTAACAGCACTAGTTATGAATGTAAGCCTAGGTTATTAGAGTTTTAATTTTCATTAACCGAGTCATCTGTGTTACCTCTACTTTATCTGACAAGATCTGAGCAAATTAATCAGCTGTTTTTGACTGAAGTGATGCGGGCCTCACCTCGTCTCTGGCCTGAACGAAGGGTATGGCGACATCTCCTGATGCCACTCCATGGCGTTCTGTAGTCTGTGACAGGGGAACACGGTTTGATGTATTTGTCGTACAGGACGTTGCCATGATAGTCCAGGATGCTGCAGCGGGCCAGCTCACTGCAGCGCCCACCAGGCCCCGTCCCAACCATCTCACAGTCCAACGCCACTACAGTGGTTGGACAGGGACTAAGACATGGTGAACTTCGACCACTGGTTGGAGGACTGACTTCAGAGGAAAACCCACTGTCGATCTCCCATCTGTCTGCGAGCACCGTGACTAAAGTGTTTTGGTCCAAAATCGAAAGTTCGGGTTTAGTTGCATTAGAACTCCAGGGTTCAGAGTGTGTGGGTTTTTGACTTAGGGGAGATTCGCAGATTTGTTCCATTTTTTTAAGTAATTTATTTTTAACCAGTGACTCGACGTGTGTGTCTGTGCTTTTCCTCTTCACACTGAAACACATCTTTTGACACCGATCCCTTGCTCTTGCACTTTCCATGGCGTTTAGCATCAGAGCTTTTTTGTACAAATACCTGTGGTTGTTGAGAAGCCCCCACGAGGATGCTTTGTGCTTCTTACACACCCCTGTCATCGTCAACTAATAGAAGTGGCCTGGAAGTCATTTCTGGAAAAAAAACCCACAAAGAACATCCATTACAACCCCTGGAGATCATTAAAATATCTAAAGAACAAAAAGTACATTTCTCAGTCTGGAATGAATCAAGTTCAAACTATGCACCAACTTTTTACAACAATGAGACTATAAATATCTACTAATGTAGTAAAAATATATTTGGAAGTAAATATTGTGCCTAAATAACTGCACGTTACACTGCCTAACATTCTAACTGTCTATTTAAAGACGTACAGAGTGTAGGATTTATCCGAATGTGACCTGACATGTTGTGCTTTAACATCTCTGTCGGTAATATTTCTGTCCCAGCATGTTGGAGTAGCAAATGGCAGCCTTTAGTTTCCAACACACAAACAACATGAGGCAATATAAAAAGGTATGATCCAACCTGATGGATGACATACACAAAATAATATAATGTATGACGTTGTGCGAAAAATAAATACTTTATTTACATTTTAGTCAATACAAAATTTAACGCGACTAAAAATCATAGAAACGACGAAATAACTACACGCAGTTAACGTCAATGGCACTGATTTTGACAGACGTGGTGCCAAAAATACACCAACACTTGTGTGAAACGTGACAAACGTGTCGAAAGTCAGTTGGAGCGTATAGTTCAAAACTAATGTTCAATACTGTCAGAGGAACTGAAAACAGTCTGATAAAAAAAAAAAACAATTACACAAATTACAATAAATACACATCAGCATAATGACAATCACGTTGTAAGTTCGTCCGAGTAAACTTAGCAGCCTCTTTGAGGAACTCGGCGTAAAGAACCAACTGAAAATACATCAAACGATTTTAACAGTAACGGTATAAAAACGTTTTATTTAACCACAGCATATTACCATTAGATTTACGTCGTGTCCAGAACGCTGTGTCCAGAGTACTGGCTATGTTAGCAGAATTAGCCACGTCAGTGCAGCCTCTACGACTTGTTGGCATATATAACTACACTCAAATAGCTCGTGTAAGGTACGTAATGATGTATATGTATATTTCGCAACAATAACATTAACACATCTGCAACCCTAAATACACAATATACACAAAAAACAAGTAAAAATACTAATATAATTTATACGATACCTTGCATCTGTGTGTAGCACGTGGAATACTGGAACATGTCTGAACAAGTCGACTGTGCTTATAATTCATTGGCTTCTGGGCTTCTTCGTGTTACAAGATGGTGCTAAATTGTGCGCATACGCCATCTACAGGCTAAGCGCCATCCTGCCAGAACGATATGTATTTTTAACATTGCACTTGTCACGTTTCACGTTAGAAAACAACAAGGCTGTAAGACATTAAGTCAACCTTAAGGATATTAGGCAGTTAAGAAACCGTATATTTCATCTAAATGTGGAAACTTATGTATGTTCATGTCTCAATATAAATATTTTTTAAAAGGTGGACAGGAGTCAGGACACTTCAGCATATTAAAATATTACATTTTCACACACTGAAGTATAATTAGAGTATAATAAAGGTTGACTGAAAATATCAAACATAATATGCTACATATAGCCAAAGTCAGCATAGTCAGAATTCTGAATTTGTAACAGTAACTCATTTTTAAATCACAATCTTTCATTTGCTAGATTTTGGTTAAAACACTATGGAGCAGGGAGTCTGCAAAAATATGAACCATAAAACAATATAATCTATTATTACATTTGTTGACAAGCAAACATGAGGGCAGGTGCAAATGCAAATAAAGTTTTTTATCCCCATCAGAAGCAGATGTTCAATAATTCATTATTAATTCACTATATACACATTTTCAAACACAACATTAAAGAAACCATGCAAATCAATTTGGATTTGTGGGCCTTTTTTATTCCATAATCCTTCCAAATGTACAAAAACAAAGACATGATACAAACAAAGAAAAATTGAAATCACCATTACCATTATCCCCAGTGACGACAACAACAAAATAGAGCGAGACATGACAAGACTGGTGTCAAACCAAAGTGCATCGGCCTGACGTATGATTTTCAGACCAAGGGTGGAAAAAAATTATCAAAAAAATCTCTTGTTTTCAAAAGCTGTCACCTCTTCCCTAAAAAAAAAAAAGAAAATCTGTTTTTGTTTTTAAACATCAGGCAGGCCCTGGTCACCACTTCTGCTTCCACAGTTTTTCCAGAGCAGCTGAGGACCTAAAGGGAGGGCTGTGTCTTTTGGACGTGGCTTCAGAGCATTCGGTAGTTCACTAAAAGAGTGGGATATAATTTAGTTCTTTCTCCACATGGATTCCACCAATCCCCGATTTTTTTGGAGGAAGTTTTTATAGCTCGGACTTCTTCTTCTTCTTCTTGGGCTCGTCTTGCACCACTGGGGTGTTAGAAGCCTCCCTCTTCAGGTAGGAGATGAAGTCACTCACCTCGCGACCTCCCTGAGGGCGGGAGCAGTAAGAAGAGTGTTTAGAAGTAAGCTCAGACTGGAGGAGACTTTGTTTCAATGCTTGCTGTATGACAATCTCACCTCATATCTCTTTGGATTCATTTTACGTCCAGCTGGTGAAAAGTAGATTGAACGGAAAAATAAAAATAAATAATGAATCCACCTTATAAACAAGACTTTTTTATGTAATGTTTGTAAATGAACCAAGATTCAAGGCTCATACATTCAACCAGCTGGTACCTTAAATACACAGTAATGACTTTCAGATACCGTGGAAATAAGGGCTTTGAAACATTTTCAAAAGTTGCACCATTAAAAAAATAAAATAGTATCAGTTTGCTTGTAATTATTAAAACAGCTTCACGTCACTTTGCTCATTAGCTGGGGAGCTGTCCTTCTATAAAAGTCTGTAGTATAACTACAGTATAAATCTGTAGTGCAAGTTCATCAGCAACTACTCCAGCTAAATGGTTGAAATGTCTAAGTTGCTTTTAGCAAATTTTAATTGGTGACAAAACCCTAAACGGTTGCAGACATTTAGGGACATACATATATATATGACAAGTGTTGGGCATTTCCAGCCCCAGTCCATTAAACGGTTATTTGATAGAAGTGCAACAAGTGTCAACCAAGTTTTCTGGCCAGTTCAGTTTTACCATCTTCAGTCGATCTCACAGAAAAACTTTGAAATGAACATGGTGAAAACCACACCACAGTGTTTCGACAGCCCTACATTAAATAAAATGACTTACCCGCTGACTTCATACGGCGATGGCACATCGTTGGCTGTAGCATCCATCTTGGCAATGACAATGTTGGGATCATTGACCAGCTGCAGGAAAAGAACAGAAAAACTGGTTACAGTCTCTAATTTACACTGTGCTTGAACTTACACAAATCCCACAATGTGAGACAAATAACTTATTATATCTCACTACTATAAAAATAGTTAAGGTCAAATCTCTTCCTCACCTTTTCTCCCAGCTCGTTGTATTTGGGCTCCAGACTCTTGCAGTGTCCACACCATGGGGCATAAAACTCGATCAGCACGTCTTTGCTGTCATCGTTGACGATGGAGTCAAAGTTCTCAGCAACAAGAACCTGAGGGCAAATCATTGACATCACAGGTTTGCCTACTGTTGTATAATATGCAACTGCATGAGGCATTTGGTACGGTAGTAAAACACACTTGAACCTTGTTTTTATTTTTTATCTTACCTTGACAGGTCCGTCATTGTTCTCGGGAATGGGCTCAGACTTGAGGTAGCGCTTCAGATTGCCATCAAAGTAGTCCTGCAGGAAACGCTCCAAAGCTTTTCCATCACGACTGTGGAAGAAGAGAGAAATAAATCAGAGGCTGTGGGTTGGACAAGGAGGCAGAAATGTGGTGTAAAGCACTGCGAGTGGTCACAGTTACAAACTAAAAAAAAACACTGACATTTCCTGTCACGGATGTCATTAGTTTGAATAAAGACCTGTCTCGACAGTGGCCTTCTAAGCCAAGGACCTGTGCCTTGCAGTAAGAATTATGTGTGTGTACAGTCTTTAAAGCTTGCAGACTTACGTGAATTCCTCTGTCATGGCGTATTTGTCACCCTTGGCGGTGCGAATAGCAACGACAGGCAACTCTCCTGTGGTGGCGTCGAAGCCGAACTCGGACACATCGTGACTGAAAGACATCTTGTTGGCCACAGCAAAGTTCAGCATCTTGCCCTGATCCAGGAAGCTCTTTGCCACCTTCATCACTCTGTGAAATGGAGCATATGTTTATTGTTTGCTTTTTTAAAATAAAAATAAATTAATTCAGGTATCATACGCAAAACCAACACTAATGAATTCAGACCAACTTCCGGAACAACACCGACCTGTTCCTCCAGTAGTTTGAACCTTTGGGGTTTTTATCATAGTCCACATCATAATAGGCCACCAGCAGATCTTTGCCTTTGAGCTGGTCTTTGTTGTCATCTGTCATGTGTGGGCAAATGCCACCACTGTGTTCAAGAAAAAAAAAGAGGAAGAGATTAGAGTGGTACAACAAAAAGCTACACTAAGACTTACTTAAAAACAACAAGACAAATAGTTTATATAACAAAAGCAGCACTAACTTTGCTGCACTATAACTAGTCACGTTAATCCTCACTGGAAATGGTCACTTTACTGATATACACCTTGTAAATACTGTGCCTACTCTGCTGTTACTACTATGTGTCTATCATGCTGCTGTAAAAACAGAATCTCCCCAGTGTGGAATGAATAAAGTCTTATCTTATCTCAGTTGGAGTTTCAACTGTGTGTATTTTAGATAAAACGGTTTTGATTGGTTAAAATGTGCTGTAACTGTGCCTTCTCCACCTATTGCTCCTGATCTTTCAAAATATTAAGTACATTTATTTAAATACAATAAATGCACAGATCTCATCTACACGCAGTTTAGTTTTTCAAGTCATGATTGTAGTAAGTGAAAGCGAAACAGAAAGTGCACAAGTGTGACGCATCATGTACAGTTTCATTCAAAACAATTTAGTTCTACTTGTTTTGGCCTTTCGGTCTAAAAATAAAGAAGAACACGGTAACTGTTCTCCTGTGGTTCTGGATACTAGATACAAAAGTATTGTTAACAAATGACATAAAGAGTGTAGTCTACAGCACAGGCAGCTGTGAATAAAAAAAACAGGAACAGCAGAGCAGGAAATAACAGGTCAGTGTATAATAACAGAGCTGTCAGTCCAAGTCCTAAGTCACAGCTCAGAAAGAAAACTATTTACAACAGACAAAAGTTTTAGGTTTTGACATCATAGACTCAAATACTCATCTTCCATCTTTGTCAAGTTTTACAAAAATGTAAGTATACAAACAGAGTCTGGCCTCCCAGCTGTCAACTCATCAACCAATATCCTGTTGGCCTTTGGCCATGTGTGTTTAAATATTAATTGTTGTTACACAAGATGAATGCATGCAGACAACCATTCACAATTATCTGCTGTCAATATTTAGTGCAAATGAAATGGAACCACATCTTGCCCGCCTTTTCCTGCGGACACTCGTGCAAAAGTAGCATGTCTGGAGAACGAGACACTCACATGTTATCCTTAATAAATTGCTTGATTTTGTTGCTGTTGTAAACTCCTTCTGTGTATTTGACAGAGCTGTCTTCAAACTTGTTGTTAAGGCGTGGTGGTCGGAACAAGATGATTCCCCTGTAATGGCAAAGACAAGGCCACGTCAGTTCAGGTCATCTGTCTCATACAGCGCTGATATTGTGGCCGTTCTGTCATGTGAGTGAGTTTAGTGATGTCATGACAGAAGACAGAATGCAGAGTGAACTCCTGTACTTACTCTCCATCAATGCCGTGGCTCTGGAGAAGAGCTTCAGAGTTGGTGTGGGCAAAGCGATAGTTGTCTCTCAGGGTATTTGCTGCCTTCAGGAACTCTGCCTGAGCTGTGCTGTCAGCAGAAAAGAAACCTGGAAAGATTCAAAAACACAGTGAGACACAGAAAATGTTTACATTAACATCTAATAGAGATTCAAGCAGGTGCAAATGTCCACATATCAACTCACCAACAACTCCTGCATCCTGGTTAGCAGTGAATTTCTCCAAGTCTTCTTCTGACTTAAGCTCCAAAGACGGTGGGCCAGCCTGCTTTTTAAGGAAGCTGACAATGCCATCTGTGAGGAAACAAAAATAGAAACATAATCAGTAAGTAAATCAGTAAAAAAAATGCAGAAAACTTGTGTACAAATGAGTTGAACACATCCATAAATTCAGGCATCACATACCTGCACTTCTTGGACCATCATAGGGACCGGATTCCTCTCCCTCTCTGAAGATCTTTAAGGTGGGGTAGCCGCTGACACCATACTTGCTGCAAGTTTTGCCATGGACTGTGCAGTCAACCTAAGAAAAAAAAGTTAAATATGAATAAGAAAATAGCACCGTGGGGCAGAACAGCAGACGTAAGTGGAAAAAACAACAAAAGAAATAAATCAAAGAGTACCTTGGCTAGAGGGACAATGCCTTTCAACCTTGTGGCTGCTGCTTCATACTCTGGAGCCAGCTTTTTACAGTGGCCACACCTAAGACACATAGAGGATATAGATCAGTCAACAGGAGCTCATGTGTCCCCTTAGGTGGTTTATCTTTTAGCCCAGAAAATATCTTGAAGGAAATACTGTAATTCTGTAGAGTAAAAACTGGAATATGATTAAAAATCAATTTAGTCAATTTAGCCACATAGAAAAGTAATGATAATTTCTCTATTTTTGGTTTTACATTTCTGCTCATTGTATATTGTTTAGACACGAGAAACAAGATGATAGAAGATGATATCAGGGATACCTTTAAATCAACTTTTTTTTAAAACAATGATATCAGGGATACCTTTAAATCAACTAACATTTTGAAAAAAAAAAGCAATACAAAACTGTAAAAAAAATAAAAAAATAACTGTTGTTCAGCTCGAAAAGTTTTCAGCTCGAAGCTTAATTTCACTGTTCTGATTAAAATGTAAGATGTAAAACAACAGAAGTTAAATAAATGTTTGGGGTGTAAAATAAATATATATTCTATTTATCTAGCTATTACAGTATTTTCATGTCTTTGCAGACGTTTGTTAATAGTGCAATTCTCCTTGTATTACTCACACGCTTCTAATCGTACCAATAGCCAAATTCGCAGGTATTCGCAATAATTGGCCTTTTAAGTTGTTTAAAATAAAACGTGGTTTAAAAGAAATTAGTAAACCGCTCGAAGAAATGTATTAAGTTCACGGTTCAAGTTTGGCACACAGAGAACACGTCATATTACTTCCTAGCCTATCACAGTTGGACACCAAAATTCCATTAACCAATCAGTGCGTTACAACGACAAAGAGAACGCCTCCAACTTCCTTGTACCCTTCAGACACGCGTAGCTTGAAGTAAAAAAAGCAAAAAATACATAAATATTGGGAAGTTGTTCAAGATCCCGACATAGTATTATGAATTATGCAAAACATTATCCTTGTCGACCAAGACTCGCTGCATTTCACCAAAAGAAAATATTTGGGCCGCGAAGCATACATATCTCGGCTGTTAGCTAACACGCTAATATGGACGACAGCTAAATTAACCACAAACATCTAGCACCTACTACCATGTCCGTATTGCTGAGTGGAGTGCCGCAGGTGATATGCATTTGCAATATGCAGAACGCTACAAATAATACTGAATCTTGTCAACACTCGTGGTGTGCAATGGTAGTAATTGCGAGTCCTTTAGCTGAAGTGCTAACCTCCTTAGTATTAGTATTTGCCGTTAATATTTGTAAATATTTCAGTTTGCTAACGGAAAATATGAAAACACTCACCAGGGAGCAAAGAATTCCACCAGAATGAGTTGGTGGGGTGAAACCCTGGTTTCAAAGTCGTCATCTGTTAAATCCAGCACATCAGACGCCCGAGTGAACCCGGCGAGGGCAGCCAAGAAGACGAGCCTCAACATCGCACACCGCGCTAGTTATAAGGTCTTATAGAGAAAAAATAATAAAAAATGGGAAACAATTCAGCCAACTAAATGTGCCCCGCAGCCTCCTTTTTTGGTGACGTTTAGCGACGTGCAAGCAGAGGCTGCCACAAACGCAGACTGGTCCTTAAAGAGAAAGAGAAAGAGAGGCAGGAGGCTGTGCAGACGTTTCAGGCAGCAGGACCGCTCCTAACCACAGTGTGGCAGACTGACATTGGTCCAACGTCTGTGTCAATCAGCACAAGTCAGCCAATGAGAGACGTGATATGTCGAACGTAATTGTCCCACTCCACAACCAGGAAAAATCAAAAGTTTTTTTTTTCTGTGGTCAAAAGAGTCGGTAAAAATGGCTAAAGATTCATGTATAATGAAACGTATAGGATTTAAACCTAGATACAAAGACTTGAAGCCATATTAACGTTTTTCCTTATGTCTCCAACCCGGCTTTTGTTCATACTTATTTACAATCCTTTATACCGTTACATTATAGTATTCGTGCTACGTAGACAAGGTAATGTTTAAGTGGTGTGTTTACTGTATAATTACACTTACCTATCTTACAAATACTTATCCTACAAAATGGTACATGCTGAAAATAACTTAAAATAGCGTTACCTAAGCATGTGTTGTATTTTTATATCAAATAAACAATCAAAAAAAGAACTGTGTACACTTTGGGAAATGTTTGGAGAAATTCTATATTTTTTCTGTCTACTATTTTCTATTAGTCAAAAACCTTTAATCCAGATCTGTGTTTTAGCACAAAACCACCAGATGTCTCTCTACACAAGCGCCTAGAATTTGACCTAAGCTTGTTAAAAAAACTCTACTTTATAGAATCGTCTACAGAGTACTTTTAAAAATAGAAGTTAAAAAAAGAGAAAAGATAAAAGCTGTTGTATTTAAGATAGTCTTCATTATTTTTTTCCTTTGATGGTAGAAGATTTTTTTTTGCATTATTAAGGTTTAAGTTGCTGCTGCATTATAGTCATTATGGTAGTTTTTAATAAAACAAAGTAATGTAATGTATTGCCTGACGAACGTTTCTCAGTTGTCTGAACAGATAACTATTAGTTTACTGTAGGAAAACATCAACGAGCGCGTGTTTTAGATAGACCAACTGCAAGCCACGCACCATGTGATTAATGATGTGGTCTTCTACATGTAAAAATTTAACCTTGTTAAAAATGTTAGATCGTTTAATAAAATTTGATTTGTATGAAGCAAAACTCTACAGCAAAGAACTTAAAAAAAATAAAAAATAGAACGTTTTATAACAGTAC